CATCACAAAACCTCACATAGTATAGAAAGGATTGCTACACTAACACCTTCAGATCCAGGTATCGTGTACTGATACCAGAAAATGACTTCATGTGAAAATATGAGGATTTAGCAAAAGCAACTGTAACAGCCAGCACCTTGTGGTTTCCTAGATATATATTCAACCTCAGACACGTAAAAAGTGAATACAATCATCCACGTTACTTGATACAAAGCTAATTCAGTTGTGCAGTGTGCTTTTATGATACTGGACAAACAGGTCAAAGAGGAAGTCCCACATTTCTGAACATTACTAGCCCCTTTCTGGCTAACAATGTCAGAACCAGCCTCTGACCTCAATATATAAGATTGCTTCCTCAGGAACTCCGATTTGTATCCTTAAACATCGCTAACTATTGGTAAAGAAAATCTTGCTTTTGTTCCCAGCAGAAATATAAATGGAGCTTATTTCATTAGTTCTTCTCATTCATAAACTGTAAGAAACTTCAAAGTTAAATTTTAAACTAGTCACTTCGCTTATCCATTTTCCAATCACAGGTTTTTCCCACCTTCGTTGAGTTTCAGTGACTAACAACTCAGAAGTACTTGGTATTCTCAGGATTTCTCTCCCACAGCAGTATCATTTGTCTCAACCAAGAACAACAAAGAAAATTAATGCCAGTTCCTAAAATTGGTGACAAGAGGTTTACCAAACAAGAGAGCAGTGAAGAAGATTTTTGGGATGGTATCATTGTAAGAAATACATTGCTGTTAACGTGGCTCTGCAACACTACCTGATCTCTTTTGCAAGGGTATTCTACTTGGATAAATCACTTCTACGCATTTGGACACAAAACCTTGCACTAAATTGCTTTTTCACATGCACAGAAATCTACACTTACACTTGGTTACATCACAGAAACCCATGCTTTTTTCTTTTCAAAAGCTCATTCCACTTGCACTGACAACAGTATCAAAAGGAAACACTAGACAATGTTCCCTATGAGAGAGGTTTTTTCCTTATTTTATTCTATATCCTTGTTTTGTAGAAATCAGCATCTGCTAACTTTACCTAGGAATGCCTGGGAACACAATAACTCCTCGGTCATAATATAAAAGCTGGACAAATGTGGTCTGTTTCTGAGTGTATGATGAAAAGTTTTGTTATCTGTATGTGGATCACTATAACAAAGAAACATATCTACCATGGTTGGTTAAGTTAATTTTGTCAGGTACCCTTCCTTCATCACCTTCTAAAAGGCTGAGCTTACAGCACTGATGGACCTCAACCTCCAAGTTACAAAGCTAAATTCTACATCACTCGCTTACAAAACTGATTTTCCCCCAGTACAAGTGAATCCAAAAGAAAAAAATAATCATACTTAATTATACGTCATTTATCCTTAACTTAGTGGATCTGTGATGGTTTATTATTCAGTTATTGTTTCAAACAATACAACACTGTATGAACAACTGGCAATTCAGCCTTCTAAATCACTTTGAAATCCTCAGCTTCAAATAATAAAAGCTTATAACAGAATGTATAAAATGGAAAAAGCTTGTAAGATTGTTTTACTTCACTGTTACATAACTGAAAAAAAAAAAAAAGCTAGTATCAGTCTGTTACGGCTCTGCTGAAATTTTTTTTTTCCTTTATGTTAGATCCCATGACAGTACATTGAAAACCACAAAAGGTCTTTTTTTAATCACCTTATCTGTGCTTTACTGACATCTATCAAAAGACGACATTGGTAACCTGCAACATAGCTCCAAGTATAGCAAAGATTTGCCACAGACAGTTGCCACTAAGTAAAGTGATTAGGTGACTTCAATCTTGAAATTAGCATTCCTGGGACTACTTACTTTGATTTTTGCATCTCTGTTGAGATACAGAAGCCTGATCAATCTCTGCTTTCATTGCTTATCTTCTCCAGCACCCACTCATACCAAATGCAACCCTTCCTACTATTGAACATTTTTATGAGTTTGGGCAGCAGCAGAACAATTGGGAATACGTGCATGCACACATTTATATAGAAGCTATACATCAAATGCTGGGACCAACTGAGTGGGATCTTCAGGGGGGCTTCCCCAAGTGGTTTGAATTAACTCTTGGGCTTCACCCAAGCTTTCTTAGCCAGAACTTCTGGAACGTGCTTATTGCAGAAGGATATTAAAGCATTAATCATCTTATGATAAAAAACAAACAAAAAAAAAATCAGTTAAGACACCAAAGGTTCCTGTTATACTTTTCAACTGCTATTGTTTCATTTTCTCTGTGATCTAAGACTAACTCAAAGGAAAAGTTGGAAAGCAAGTCACCATGAAATGACGTACATCCCACTGCACTAAGTGGGAAGCACTGCCCAACTGCGAAACAGCAAAGCAGTGTTGCTAAGCAGCTGCCTTAAAACTGTAACGGCTTCTTCCGTCACACGTAAAGATTTGGAACTTCTAAAATTTGCAAGACTAAAAATAGCATGACTGGTTATTTCGTTCTCCATTGGGACAAAGAAAATGAATAGCATCTTACACACTCTCATACCCATAATTACTAAGAAAGATTAATCAGAAATCATTAAACTGAGAACCTAAGCAGTGTTCTCTTAGCTCCACCTACATAAGGGTCTTTATATTATTTGGTTCACTAAAATATAATTTGGCTCTTTCCTGGAAAAGTGTTTTTTTTTGTTTTGTTTTGTTTTGTTTTTTTAATACTAATCCACATGGAAATCAGAAAATATCAATTAAGTTAAATAAATAAACATGGCTAAAAGGCAACCACTTCCATGTAGCTTTCTGTAAGGCTACATGCACACTCTGTTTGGGAGAGAAGAAGAAAGCCTGACCACAGCTAGCACTGCAACTGTGCCCTGTCTTCCTCAGCTGGAAGTAAAACTGTAAGCACAACACCTTGACGGGAACAGGAATAAGCTGGCAGCAGGAGGTGGAGGGAAAATATTCACCACAGCAAAACAACTTATCAGTGAGGATACCATCTGTGTTTCCTTTTATCCTAGCCTTCCTAACTTTTACTGTTTTTTTTTCATTCAGAATGCTATCACTATATCCTCACCTTTTTTCTTCACCTGTATTGCTGTGTGGTACAGAAATACAATACCTTTTCATCTTATCTCACAGTACTGTTTTCTCTTGGCATACAGGAATTCCAAATTCCTGAGTTGCGTTCAGCGTGCAACAGCAGAAACCTTAGTCCCAGTTCCTCACAATCCCCTGACCAACCAGCACTAATTGTCATTGCTCTCCCTGCATGTTACCATCAGGACAAATGAGGACAGTGATCACTCAAACGCAACATTTAGGCTGCTGGGAGGGGAGCAGGGGACTGGACCACAGGGAAGGTAACTGTCAGCATGCAGACACAGCTGTTCAGAGAAACAGAGGCAGCATATAGAGAGGAATCATCAAAGTGTTTTGTTGGGAACATCACCCCAAACATTTGTGATTTTGGCAAAACTACAGAAAGAGAACAGAAATTGGATAAATGCCTCTGCTTAGTTACTACTCAGTGACAAAGGAACATAAACCAGCAATAGAAAGAGAGCTCTTTGCTCGAGTCTGAGCTCACTCAAGAAAGAAAAAAAGGAAGAGATGAACCAGAAGTACAAAGCTATTCTGGAAAAGTGAAGAGTGGAAAAATACGAACAGGTTAATGGCCTAACAAATCAATGAAACCATCTGGACAATAATTGTCTTAACAATGACAAATTCTTAGAGGTTTGCACAAAGCATTCTAATCCCCTCTCCTCTACTGTAGAGGCACATGTACATGCACGTACATTTTAGTGCAGAGTCTATAAAACCTCAAAATTATATCCAAGAAATGAGCAAATGATAGTAATTTTGCCAAAAAATGACCAGTAGATGCACAGACTGGTAGTTTCTACAAGCAATGGTCAGGGACCACATTTCACAGGCTCTAAATTTCTCCACAAGTCTGTCAATCTGGGAAATCAAATTAGCCTAAATTTCACCAGTTGTTACTGACACGCTATGCCCTGATGTTACCTATATATGCAGATACATGTAGACATATGTATTTGTGTACGCATATGTGTAAATAAACACACAAGAAGAACGTCTGGTTACAGTTAACTCTAATCATATCCATCAAACGCCAGCCTTCATCAAACCCGGGGACTCCCCATCTCTCCTCCAAGCGTGACTTGTGCGTGCCCTGAAGCATCTGGCAATAACTTTCCTACCAGCCGACGGGCCGGGCTAGGAGAGCAACGGGGTCTCACACGGTATGCGCTGCGTTTCCCGACGCAGCAGCCCCTCCTGCCCCTCTCCATATTGGAGGCCGTGGCAACGAGCAGCACACGGTGCCCGCGGTTCCAATACCCGCAGGGCCGCCGGCAGCGGCACGCTTTCCGCCTCAGCCCTTCGGCTGTCCGTCCCAGCACCGCCGGGGTCGCGCCCGGCCTCTAACTCTCCCCACGCGTTTATAAAACCGTCTCCAGGCTCAATGTGAGGTGCCGGGACATCAGACCCGGACAAGAACGACCCCAGCGCAGCAAAGCGCGGGCGTTCGGCGGAACCCGTCCCGACAGGCCCCGCCGAGCCCCCCGCGCAGGCTCGGCGTGGCCCCTCGGCGCCGGTGCTCGGCTCCCCTCGGCCTCCCGCCGCCCGGCCGCTTACTGCTGTGACGCATCCAATGCAGCAGGCGGGGCAGGTCGGCGGCGCACGTGCCCCGCACGGCGGCCAACACCGCGCGCCGCGCCGCCGCCAGCTCCATCGCCGCGCGCCCAGCCGACGCCAGGGGGCGCCCTGCCTCGCACCTGGCCACTCTGTGACCGTTGTCGCGCAGGCTCAAAAGGCGGCCCAGAGGAGCCCTCTCTCTGCGCACGCTTGAAGCAGAGATCCCGCCCACTGCGCACGCTCCAGGGCCGTTCCGCTTCAGCCCCGCCCGCCAGCCACTCTTAAGGTGGTACAGCGGTACTCGGAGAGTTTTTATGCCGAGCGCCGGCACGCCATCGAGTCGCCGCGGCCTTAGCGGGCCAGCCGGCGCGTGCCCCGGCGGCGGAAGTGCGCTGAGAGCGTAGGCGAGTGGTGACGTCTCCCCGGTCGGTAGGAGCGGGTCGCCGCTGCCGGTGGCAGAGCGCGGAGGCAGCGCAGTGCCGCCCGGCCCCGCCAGCAGCAGGCCCCGCGCCGCCCCAACGGTGAGCGCCCGTGCCGGACAGCCTCGCCCGGTGTCGGGTAAAGCTGCGTGTTAGCGGCACGCCGCCGCTGTCTGTCCAGACAGATTGCGGTGGGCTCGCGCTGGCTGGACGGGCGATGCGTTTCATCAGGCTGCAGCTCAAATCCCACCCCGGCTTCTGCCGCCTGGCTCCCGAATGCCCGTCCTCCAGCGGCCGCCGAGCCTTGGGTTCCGCCGCCAGGCCTCTGTCCGTGCCGGGCGGTACGCGGCGCTGCGTCAGAGCTTGCTGCTGCGGATGCCGTCGGCGCGGCTACGTGCTGCAGGGCGGTTGGTTGCGGTGCCCGCTGGCTGGGTGCTCTGGCACAGTAGGTCTTTGCGTCTTTAGGACGGTTCGGCTGCGAAAATATTTGTTAGGAAATATTTAACCTTCTGTACTTAGCTATCTGTAGAATTCTGGAATATGGGGGGAAAACTGTCAGCTGCGTTGATTACACATGGTTTCATATTGGGAAGTTTGCTTTCAGGTCTGAAAGGAAGAACGCAGGTGTGAGGTTTGAATTCAGCATTGAGCTGGGGGGGAATTTCAGCTGAGTGTTTTGAAAGCAGCTGCCAAATCAGGAGGTGAACAAGAGAAGCCCGAAGCAGTACTTTCTGCAGTGACTGTGGTGCTGCAGCTTTGTTATGAGACAAGTTTGTGTTTGTCCTTTTCCAAGGATTTAGAGGCAGGGTGAGTTAAGATGTTGTCTTTGCATGTGCAGCTTTTAGGAGTTATTTTTAAACTCCTTTTTCAAACTGTCACAATTACCGTAGGCTTGCGTGTAAGATTTGTTTATAAGGAACAGAAAATGGTCTGGTTTCCCAATAGAAAAGTTTAAAAACACAGCATGAATTCTATTAGTTAAGATACATGTATGTTTATGGGACTGTTGACATGGGAAATCTGGTTTGATTTAGAATAGGGTAGATAAAATAGTGCTGATCAACAGTGTTACCTCCTGCTTGCAAAATGTACTGCTTCTGATTGTGTTGTCTCTGCATAACGCGTAGCTTCTGGGCTCTTTGGCTTGGCTTTAAGTCTGTGATGTAACATCATCCTGGTAAGAAAATAAGGAGGCATGTTCTATTTGGAATGCTGTCTAGACTATTTTTTCACAATGAATTTTAGGCGTAAGCATAGCAGACAGTGAAATGATTTTTTTGTTGCAGGATGGTATTTCTATTTTCAAGTAGGCCATCAGGATTTCCTAAAATTAATTTCAGGCCAGTGTTTGCTAAAAATAATACTTAAAGAGCTCAAACTTGTGCTTTCTGGAGAGCAAAGCAGGTTACTTACCCCAGAATGTACTGGAATAATTCCTCTGTGAAGGCATAGCTTCAACTAGTTTTAGAACTATTTTTTAAATTGTTTTCCAGATTCTTCTGAGGTCAGTTTGAAGCCGCCAAAATGGTTCTAGCAGATCTTGGAAGAAAAATTACTTCAGCGTTGCGCTCACTGAGCAATGCTACAATTATCAACGAAGAGGTATGTAAAACAATTGCATGATGGCACTGTAATGTTTGGAAAGCAAAGTTCTGGTAGATTAGGCTGATGAGAACCAAAAAGTGAGTTGATATTATTCCCAAGCTCTTGTCATCATTCAAGTAAAACTTCTAGCTAGAGCTTTATAGCCCCTGATAGCCAAAACTCAGTGCTAGGTTTAGGCATATAGAGTCACCTCAGAGATCGTGGGCCCATGTTCCCAGGGTCATCATGACTGGTGGCTGTACTCCTGGAAAGTAGCATTCAGAAGTGGTGGATGCTGAAGAAGGCATTTTATGCCTGTGTTCTGGTGGAGACTACTCTGAGACCTTGCAGAATGTGCCAGCATTTGTGTTCAGCTGTGTTATGGACATGTACTGGATTGCTAGAAGCTGGACTGTGGAAGAAGAAATGATTTTCAGTATAGGTTTTGCACCCTAAAATGAGAGGAGTGTTAACTTTGCTGCCTTTCTGTTCTAGCCAGCATGTGACTCTGGAAGCTATTTGACTTGATAGTCTGTATTTTTTTAATTAAGATTTTGATATGGTAAATGTGTTGTAAAGACTGAATGCCAAGATTAAAAAGTAAAGGATACGATGATTTGAAATTGCTTTTGAGTAAATGGCTAGAAAGTTCAGGTAGACAAATATGTTTTGTTGCCTGAAGTAACTAAAAAATAGGCTTACCAATAGGCACAATTTTAGAACTTGTGCAAGGCGAACATCTTAAGCTAGAAAACAACAAACAGAGTCTAATACAACCCAATTCTTTTTTTTTGTTTGTTTGTTTTGCTAATAAAAGCTTTTCTACTGTGAGAGGTCAAGCTGTGCAAATGAGGTTGCTTATTCAGATGTTACTGAATTTAAAAAAAAAAAAAAGTAAAAATGTTTTTGTTCAAGACTTTTCAAAGTGAAACATTCTATGGCTACTGATCTGGGTTCCACCTTTGCCTGAAAAACCAGAGCAGCTGCAGAGCAGCAGTGCAGTTTATGCTGAAAATGCAGGTGACAAATTGAGGTGCTTCCTTTTCCCTTTCATATTTAAACTTGATTTGCATATGAGCAAACGCATAGACTTTGTGGCAGTCAATATAACAGTAAGACCACGTGCATTTAACTCATAAAAGCCTTTAGTGTATCATAAATATACTTTCTCATTGTTATTGGAAACTAATACTGAGTTAGTCAACGTTGTGTGTTGTAAAACCATTTTTCCTTTATACTCCAAAGGTTTTAAATGCTATGTTAAAAGAAGTATGCACAGCATTACTGGAAGCTGATGTTAATATTAAACTTGTGAAGCAACTAAGAGAAAATGTCAAGTAAGTAATCAACATCAATTTTAATTTTAATGTTTGTAAAAATCGTAGTTTGATGTTATGGAAGAATAACTTCTAATTTGTGTATGACTTTCTTAGACATGTTCAGTCTACCTTCAAACCCTAGTTTTCACTTTAACAGAAAAAATCAGTTTCAAACAGCATCTAGCCAGCTGTATCAAAATAGTCTTCCTTGGGTTTAGCCAATTGCTGGGGTCTTTCTTTAAAAAAAAAAAAGTGTCAGTTGAGTGCAATAGTAAACAAGCTCTTAGAGCCTGGGCACCTCATCTTCCAACGTTCTGTGCTGCCTATAGGTAGATCTGTGCGCATGCTCAGTACTGTTACCTTGTTATTTTGAGATGTGTAAGTCAAGTAGATACAAGTACACTGGAAACCTGGTTTTGTGCTACATACTAAGATGTTGCCTCTAGTGTATGTCACTTCTTGAATACATTGTACCTAAAAACTGGAGGCAAATCAGGTTGCTGTTCCACTTGCAGAGACTTCGCTTACTAATAGCTTAACGTGATACTGTAAGTTATATAGGTGCTTCATGGCTTCAGTTTTATTAAAGGTGTTTTCTTTAATTCAGGTCTGCAATTGATCTTGAAGAAATGGCATCTGGCCTTAACAAGAGAAAAATGATTCAGCATGCTGTCTTTAAAGAACTTGTTAAAGTAGGACTTTCAGAATTCTATTATGTCACTTTTCTTGTACAGCTTGTGTTGTGTGAGCAGTACAGTAGCAAGCAAAGTTTTAAGGTTCTTGTACAGTACCAACAGGTGTTCTGTCTGTTTGGGTTGTCAGGTTTTCTGTTCTAAGGCTACTTCCTATGCAAATGGTAGTACTTTTTCTGATTGGAACTTTGCTTTCTGAGTATATCTTCTAGACTAACTTTCAAGTTCAGCTATTCTTTTCAAATAAATTTAAAGGCAAAATAAGGATAAGGGACTGTGAGCTCCTGAACTGCTGTCTTTGGTTGTCCTAGCAGTATACCTTTGCTACTCTAGGGAAGATTTGTTCAAACTACTTACAAAGCATTGAAAAAGTACAACTAACAACCTGGCAGTTTCTATGGCAACTTTTCATCTGCTTGTTTGGTCAAGTCCCTACCTGGTATCAGTTTTTTGTCCTCTCTCCTATTAAATGTTGTCTTCTGTTCATCTGTAATTTGTGATCGTGCATATTGGCTCTGTGGAATGCATGCTCCTATTCATTCCAGAAGAGATTAAGCCTGAAAAGTCTTCTATGTTGTAGGATTCTCACCAGAAGAGATCCATCTTGTGCAGTGATGGGGTGGAGGTTATGTTTATGTTCATTTTTATATTCAATATATATAGGCTCACTTGCCTTTGGTGCTTAGTCTTATGGGGAGAAAAAAAAACATCTGTTATAGAATGATTATGTATACTATATACTAAAGATCTGTGTGTTCATTGTGAATTTAAAGCATCTAAAAAAATTGAGACCCAAATATACAAAAAAATTTGCTTTCTTTGCTGAATGTGAAACCAGGCACTGATAGGGGCCAAGTATGACAATAAGTGTTATAAGTCTCTGAAATTCAGTTTTGCAACACAGACCCCTTTGTTCTGTAGCTTGTAGATCCTGGAGTTAAAGCATGGACACCTACCAAAGGAAAACAGAACATTATAATGTTTGTTGGTTTGCAAGGAAGTGGTAAAACGACAACCTGTTCAAAGGTAACTTGCACTGAATGTGTTTGGATTTTCTGTTTGTTTTTTTTTTTCTGGTGAAGGAGAGTGTTGTTGAACACTTAATGTACAATGTACTTGTGACTTGCTGTTTTTATTACTGATTACATTATAGAAATACATTTGTAGAGGAGGTTCTTAGATGATATGAATGTCCAAAGTAATATTCTTTTGGAGCTTATTTATAGTTGCAGGGCTTCCTTCAAGATTTTTTTAAGTTGCACATTTAATGAAACAATATTATATGTGGATAATAGTTTCTTTCCACTCCATACTTCATGGGTTTAAGATGCACTGAGTGGAACTTTTCTCATTCTATTGCCTGTTTAGGGGAACTAGTATAAGTTGACTTCTGTGTTAAGTATCCCAGGTAAGCATGAGTGGATGGTATGAAACCTGTTCTAGCTGCAAGTTTATTTAGGGACTTCAGATTTATATTTTCAAGACTAAAAAAGGATGCTCAATTCAGAGCAGTTGTAACTTAACTTACTGATTATTTTTGAAGAGGAAAAAATTGTCCTATGGGAAAAGACCAATGTGTACTACTTGCCTTTTTTTTGTCACTTGCTGTCAGAGAGATTTATATGTAGACCTTGCTAAATATATCACTGCTCTTATTTTGTAAGACATTCCTAGTTCTTCTGTAGGAAAATATATCTTGGAAATCTTTATTTGGGTGAATCAATTGAATCAACCGTTCTGTGAATCTGTTGTACTAGTGAGGCTTGCAAGTGTTACATAATAGTAAGGATTCTATTCATTGCTTTGAAACAAATCCTTGTGATTGGAATATCTTTGTTCCTCTGGAAGTAAAAAAGCAAAGAAATGCTCAAGTTTTAGCCATTGCTGTAGTTAATAACTTACTACTTTGGCTAGTATTCAAAAGCTAATTCTATTTGCATTATTAAGAACTAATAAAATAGAAACAGAGGCTATTCTTAGCTCAGGAAACTGAAATTAGAAGCAGAGTCAAGCACTGTTTTTGTCTAATTGAACAGTTACTTGTATATCATGCTTTTCCAATATGCTAACACTTGATGGTTGTATGATGTTACTAAGTGATCACAGGTATACCAAGGCTGGCTTGACTTTGTCCTCAAGTTTGTACTTTAAGCCATTACATAGTGTTATACTTTGTTGTGGGATTTTGGTGTAACCACTTGTTTTGTTTTTTTTTTAACAGTTAGCATACTTCTATCAAAGGAAAGGTTGGAAGACGTGTTTAATATGTGCAGACACATACAGAGCAGGTAATACAAACAGCTACTAATGATACAGTTCTCTCTCTAACGCTTATTTTTGTGTGGTGGTTTTTTTTTTAATATTTCCATGACCATACCTGTCTTACAGGTGCTTTTGACCAATTAAAGCAGAATGCAACAAAAGCAAGAATTCCTTTTTATGGGAGGTAAGCATCTCTCAGAATCAGTTTGGAGAACAGTGCAGGTTTAATGATATATTGTTACTTATTGAATATCTTACAAAATCCTGTTCACTGTTGCTTAACTATTTATATATATTTATTATATATACATATGTGTATATATAATATATTAACATTTGTTCTGAGTGGACTTCTGAAGATCTAGTCCACCCCCAGCTTGCTTGAGCAGGTTGCACAAGATCAGTTCTAGATGGATTTTCAACATCTCTTGAGAAGGAGATCCACAACCTCTGCAAGCAACCAATGCCAGTGCTCTGTCATCCTCAGTAAATTATTTTTCCTCATGTTCCTCTGGAAGTTCCTGTGTTGCAGTTGGCACCTTTGCAAACTGTCTCTCTTGTTCTGGGTTCCCAACACTAAACACAGTATTCCAGCTGTGGCCCTACTAGAGCTGAGTAAAGGGTAGAAAAACCTTGTGACCTGCTCACAATATTCTTCTCAGTGCAGCAAAGGAGGCCATTGGCCTTCTTGCCTCAGAGGTGCACTGCCATCTCATGGAGATGAACTAGGGCTTCAGAGAAGGGCTAGCAGGGCCTAGTGCAGTCTTCAGTAGATGCGACAGTCCTTTGTACTTCAGTTCACTGAACAGTAAGGGTAAATGATTTAGAAAGGTGTAACCTTAATCAGTTTTGGCTTGACATGAGAGGAAGTCAATCTTGGAATCCAAGCAGATTTATGATTAATAAGTTTACAGTCAAGCAATAAAAGGTTTAATTTGGGAATAAAGAATTGCATATGTAATGATATTTCTCTTTGATCAGTTATACAGAAATGGATCCTGTAATTATTGCATCAGAAGGTGTTGAGAAATTTAAGAATGAAAACTTTGAAATTATCATCGTTGATACAAGTGGACGTCACAAACAGGAAGACTCGTTGTTTGAAGAGATGCTACAAGTTGCTAATGCCATAGTGAGTAGCTTCAAGAAGTACATTCACTACTGTTATAGTAATGCAACTGCAATTAATTGCTTACTTCCTAGTGTTCTATGCGGTTTTCAGTCTATGGGAAGCACTTCTAACATCTAGAATAAGCTAGAAATTATAAGCTGCTATGAATAAATGAGAGAGATGATCAGTGCTTAATAGCACTGAGTCAGTTTTAGTTGTTGGATCTGTAATTTAAGGATGCTTGCATTTAACTAGACTACAATTCCTGCTTGAACTTTGCCTTTCAGAATTTTTGCAATGTGAACTAGATTTAAAAAAAAGTAAGTTAAGTTTCTGTAGCTTTGTGTACAACCTTTTCTGTGATTGTTACAAATAGTTGCCTTGAAACAGAATGTTCAGCGAGTTGGATATGTGAATGAAGTTGGTGTTTCTTGTGTGAATTCTAAATATCTAATTTTGGATTCTGTAGTCTTGCAGAACAATATGGCAGCTCCCACACAAGTCATGCTGTTGGGTAACTTGTTTTCAAAGGAGTGGACATATTAAAGTTTTTAACGAGAAAAACAAATGGAAGATGTTAATTGCTTGTAGCTGCTGATCATCTTGCTGGCTCGCATACTATCTGAAATCATTCAAAACATAAGAACTGCAAAATTTTAATGCTGTGTATTGAACATTTTTAATACTCTGTATATGAACATTTTTTTTGCATTTTCAAGCGGTCCTTAGGTAATACTGCTCATAGAAATGTATTGCAAGAACTTCTGTTACTGAATGTAATACATCAGCAAACATTAAGAATGCAGAAAAAAATCCTTCTTTTTTCTTCCTAGCAACCAGATAATATTGTGTATGTGATGGATGCTTCCATTGGCCAAGCTTGTGAAGCTCAAGCTAAAGCTTTCAAAGATAAAGTAGATGTAGCTTCTGTCATTGTGACTAAGCTTGATGGACATGCAAAAGGAGGTGGCGCCCTTAGTGCGTAAGTACTGTGATATAATAGGGGTGTCTGGCCACGGATGGACAAACGTGTTAGTGCTTCACAGAAACCTGTCAAGTGAAAGCATCTCTGTCAAGTTACAGGGCATCTGGAGATCTAAGTAGCTATTTCTATCTTATTTTTTTATCTTATTTATTAACACTAATTTCAGTGTTGACATTCAGTATCAATTATTAGAATGTACTTCCAATGCAGTAGTATTGTCGCATCAGACTTCTGTCTTCTCAGAACAGAATACAATTATTGTTGCATCTTGTTTAGCAGACCTAACTAAAAATATAAATATAAAATTGGATGTAATAATCTTTTCACATTATGTTTATTTTCCTTTCATTTATGTCCAAATTTTTTACTGAAATGCTAGAAATTCTAGCTAATCAAATGTAATGGCTCTAGATCTGTGATGCACATTAAATTTCTAAATCCAGTGTCAAGCATCTTGATGAAAGGTAAATCAGCAGTTATGCTTTTCTGAAGTCCATTCTTGTTGGGCTTCTCATACGCTGTATGTTGACAACCTTTGTTCACTAGAACATGTGATATTATCTTCTGCTTCTATGTTAGACTCACCTCCAGCTGCTTTTGGATGATACAGCTTGCATGGAGCAAGATTATATGTCAAAACAGTTATCTGACACCTACTTGCTAAATCACTGTTTGATTTGGATGTTAAGTGTTAAAATTCTTCATCTGCCATATGTATTTTGCTGTTATTTATAGTGCAGTGATGGAAAACTGAACTTAAAAGCAAAGTGAAAATACCAGAAATAAGTTCTTGCTGTCATGAGCTGTCTGCTGTGTCTGTTCTCCACTTTCTGCAGATGGGAAACAGAATTCATTTAAAGTTATTGCTACTGATTGATTCTTTTAAAGGTTTTGATATTTTTCCATATCTTTTCCTGTTTTTTTTCCTGCGTTGAAAGTGAGAATATTTTTAGGGTTCCTCCCACAACAGACAACAAAGTTAGCCAACATCTGACCTCCCAGTATTATAGATAGAATGGATGTGGCTTATTTTTCTTTCTATCCTTTGAAGGTTCTGGAACTTGGCAGTGAAAAAGTATTGCCAGCTACTCCCCGCTTTCCATTGCAAATGCTGGATTTTTTATTTTATTTTTTTTTTTTTTGCATTAATAACTTGGTGTATGAAAGATACTTAAGAGATTGTGCTGATGTTGTGTTTGTGTTGTGTTGATGATCTCTAGCTGAGAAGTCGTCTCATAATATACATATTTCACTGCAGAGTTGCTGCTACAAAGTCTCCTATTATTTTTATTGGAACTGGTGAGCACATAGATGACTTCGAACCCTTCAAAACACAGCCTTTCATCAGCAAACTTCTTGGTATGTACTACATGCAGCTGTGCACAAGATACTTTGAGTTGGATAATTGAAAGTTAAGTGTGATTTCTTCAATGCCAACTTCAGATTTGGTTTTGTTTTCCAGGCATGGGTGATATTGAAGGATTGATAGATAAGGTAAATGAATTAAAGTTGGATGATAACGAGGCACTCATAGAAAAGCTCAAACATGGTAAGTTGTTTCCAAAGCTTGAATGCATAGACAAGTAACTTGTTCCAAGTGCGTGCTGAAGAATGGTCATTCTCTAGTAAATGTTTTGGGCAATAAATAGCTATGTTTTTCATCAAGTGACAAGTAGAACTGTAATGCAGATGAACTAGCATAATACTCTTAAATGTGTGCCGTCAGAAATGGCTTAGCCATATTAATAGTTGAGGTTTACTTATCTGCTTGTTTATCCAGTATAGTACTTACCCTGTAAATATAAAGTGTAATTGAGGAAGGGTAGTAACAGCAAAATGTTAGCGTAACCTTTGCTAATCTTCTTTTTGTTGTACTTCAGGTCAGTTTACACTAAGAGATATGTATGAACAATTCCAAAACATCATGAAAATGGGACCATTCAGTCAGATCCTGGTTAGTTATCCTAAAATTTGTTTTATCGGTTTCTGCTTTATAGCTGACAAAATTCTGCTGTAAACTTAAAATCCTTTACTGAAACTGATACTTCAATCTGTACTTTATATTTTTCAAAAAAGTGAAATTATTTGTCTACTGGAATACATACCTGCTGAACTAAAACGTCTTGTCTGTATTTCTTAAAGTCAGCTTTGCCTGTTCTGACACAGCTTTTGTGTTGCATTTTAAAACAGGGTATGATTCCTGGTTTTGGGACTGACTTTATGAGTAAAGGCAATGAACAAGAATCAATGGCAAGGCTAAAGAAATTGATGACTATAATGGACAGTATGAATGATCAAGGTAAAAACAAATTTCAATCACTATTTTTCTTTCTTGAACAAGACTAAAGATTGTTTTGGGCAACAAGGTAGACGTAAGGGTGTGTCTGAGATGATGGAAGAGTGGGAGGAACATTTCACTCTTAGAAATAGTGAAGAGTACATATGTATCCCTGTGCTGTATGAACTTTCTGTCCATTCTTAAAGATATACTGGTTATGTGGATACTTACTGTGGATACTTACTGTGGCTGCTTTCTTGTGGAGGCTAGATAAAATTTGAAAGCATTCTGTTGATAATTCATTTTTGTTTTCCATAGTGTAGCTATGCTTTTTAAATTATTAATGCTGTCCTTTCAAATGAAAATGTTTCATCTTCAGAGTCACTGTCTTTCTTTTGTATCTTTCTCCCACTCAAATATGCTTGGTGATACAGCCTGGTCTCTGGAAGGTGTGCTGTTTCTAATCTATCCATAACTTTACAGGAGAGGTGTACTCTTACCTTTGAGCTAAACCTATAAATAGGGCTTTGACTGGTTATGCTAAAAGAATAAATTGTTTCTAGGAACTTTTTCTTCCACTGTGATTTGACATACGAAGGACAATCATTTAGTGCTATTCCCTAGAATACTCTCAATTATATTTGTACAATTCTGTATCATCTCTTCTAAAACTAGTTTTTTGTTCTCTGGCTCAGCTAAATTCTCAGCACAGTTGTTTTCATTTCTGCTACCAGCTGTAATCAGTAACAAAACTTAATTTTTCCTTTCCTGTAATTGCAGAACTTGACAGTACAGATGGTGCCAAAGTATTCAGTAAGCAGCCAGGAAGAATCCAAAGAGTAGCAAGAGGTTCAGGTGTTTCTACTAGAGATGTCCAGGAGCTTTTGACCCAATACACTAAATTTGCACAGATGGTGAAAAAGATGGGAGGTATCAAAGGACTTTTCAAAGGTAAAAGAAAGACAAACAGTGTGGAGGCCACTTGATATGTGAACACAGGAAATTCAACATATATTAGGTGTATTATGAGAGGAGGACTGAGTTGTAGTTCACTAATTCTCATGTTTGTAAGCTCTTGTGTAAGAGCTGTTTTGTTCTTCATGATGCTGATATATAATGTGGCAGTCAAAACTATTGTATTTTTTGGCTTAACCAATGTAGAGTCCATTTCTACTAATACTGATATTTGAGTCTGCTGGGAGGGAGGGGAGAACAGAGACTGCTCATCCTTGAGTACTTTGACTGATGTAGTAGCTTTTGATTGTTAAGTGGATTTTAGAAGGAGGAGATAAAACAAAAACAAAATGCAGAATTTTGGGGGTTTTTTTAGCCTTGTACATTAATATACTTTGCTTCTTCCATTTTCTTTAAGGTGGTGATATGTCCAAGAATGTAAACCCATCACAGCTGGCCAAGCTGAACCAACAGATGGCGAAGATGATGGATCCAAGAGTCCTTCATCATATGGGTATGCATTGCCTTTTTATGGCTTCAGCAAGGGTCTGTTACGCTTCATCCATTTGAGATATTATGGAATTGAGGGTGATGTGAAAACCTGTTCATTATCTATCAGTATTATGTGTCTTCATGCCTTCTAACAAGAATCAGAAAGCTTAGTTGATGTGTTATGAATACTTTGCACTTAGAAATGCTTTTTCTAGACTCTTCATTTGGATTCAGTTCTCAAAATGAGCAGTTGGAGTAGTGTCTGACAAAATAATGAATCACTTCAAGCATGTCTGTTTTAAAGTGCATTTCTGAACCTCTCTCCTCTTCCAGGGTTTGCCTCAGATAAGTAATGTTCACATTAACATCTTTCAGTAAAAACTTCCATATTCAAGTCTTGCATGCTGATAATGGTAATTCCTCCAAGATTTTTTATTTTGTCAAGATTTTAATGAAGAGGTCGTCTTAAAATCTACTAAGCCTTGTTTGTAGATCCTCCTGTAATTTCTTTGTCAGATGCCCATATTTTGATAGTTATTTAAGCCTGGTTGAGTCTTGGTTTTTCATTCGTATATTACCAAAATGGCCTCTTTACAGCACATGGGCTTTTTTGAAGCAAGATAGCTGTGCTTCAAAACTAATTAACACATACGTATTCTCGCTTATTTTCTGTAGGTGGCATGGCAGGATTGCAGTCAATGATGAGACAGTTCCAACAGGGTGCTGCTGGGAATATGAAAGGCATGATGGGATTCAATAATATGTAAAGAAGCCTTAATAAAAATGGACTGGTTTGACTATTAGTTGCAACTTCAGTGAAAGGATTTGCTTTATTCCTTTTTACAGTGATGGGCAGAGTGATCTTTTAAAATGCTATTCAAGCTTCTTGGTTTCTACATCTAATTTCTGAAAACTATTTTTGCTTAAATTAGTTCCTCTCCTGTAATACCTGATGGCACAAAGAGTAAGTGAATTTAATGATGTAAAATTTTAATATTTAGAGACACTTTTTAATTGTTTACATTAAATGGCAGCCATTATATTTGTAAACAACCCTGATCTTTGGTTATAGTACATAAAATGTCACAAATATACTGTAAAATAAAATCAAGTAATTATTAACACAGGAATGGATTATTTTTTTCAATTCTTTCATATTGATCATTTATTAATATGTAACGAGACTTCCTTAATTTTATATATTTCTAATTGCTGCTGTAACTCTTTGGCATTGTATGGGAACTGCTGAATCATGGCCTGAACCTCTGATTAATCACCTGAAGTGAGCAATGAGTCAGCCACAGGAGCGCAGGTGAAGGCAATTCACCTGTGCTGCCGGAAGAGGTGGAGCCAGGCTCCACCTCTCCTAGACCCATTTAAGAGCTGACTGCCAGCAGGAAAGGTCTCTGCTGGAGTTTCACAAGTGAGACCAGGATATGGGTAAGCATCCCATCTTTTTTGCTTTGGTGTAATAACTACGTAGCCAAGCTCTCTGGTATACCACAACATCTGTACATTCATTGTTTGTACAGGCATATAAAATGTAACTAGTTCAACATCCGAAATATGCTGCTGTTGCTCAGATTTTTGAAGATAGTGTGTTAGTTTGGCATAGGATTTTGTTCTTCAGAATTCTGTAGTTCTCTCCATATACATAAAGAATGAAGCAACTAACAGTGTGTGCATACAGACATCTTCAGTATATTTGACAGCTTGATAATCTTCATACCAGACTACCAATTAAACTGTTCTTCTTTGGTGAGGGTAGTTAATAATATATAGTAGATAGAACTTTAACTTGAATTAAAAACAGCTGTATTTGGCAGACCATATTGCCCCAACTCAGCTACATTCTGTTCTTAATTTCCTATGTCATCCACTGTGTTGGTCTGATATGGTTAGAATCTACAGGCATTTGAGAAGCTATGCAAGCTGGTTAAAATTTGATATCTTAACAAATATGGTAAACTTTTTAACCCTTATTTTAAGGAAGGAGATTGTTACGGACTTATATACTGCAGTGTGCTTGGGTTGTAAATGCACCCATTTCTATTTCTTAGTTTAGTGATTAAAAATTAAATGCAGTAATTAAAATATGTCCACCTGTTAATGTTGTTTGAAAAGGTGACAGCTAACACAGCTGATAGGATTTCTGTAGGAAAACATACTCTTCTGCTAATAAAATGTGCTGTAACTTAATTTATAATGTGGAACTATCTTCTGCACTGCTAATGGTACATATATTCTTACCTATAGAGGATGCTAAAAAATCTGTAGATACACCATTCACTACAACACTGCATTTTAGCCACATAAGTAATCAGAAAGGACTGTTCAAGTTCAATACCAATATATTAAATGTAAAAAAACAATGAATACTTTTGTATCACAGGCTTGTGTGGGTGCTGCCCTCAACTATTTAAAAGGTATGTATTTATGCAAACTTTGTTTTTATAGTATTTTTCAGTTCTTGAGCAATAAAAACTAATACAATATACAAAACCGTGTAGCAGTGACTGGAAAACAAATCTTGGTGTGCAACACAGTTGGGGATAGTGGATAGTTAATTTGAATGCTGTTGATAGAAATCATACATGAATAGGCATATTGAGGATGGAACAGTGAAGCTCTGTGCTCTTGTACGGACTCAGCTGGACTGTCAAGTTATTAGCAGTTTACTCTTCCTATTTTCAATTCATTGCACATGTTTAGTTTTAGTCTTTAGAATTTTCATATTATCACTGCTGCTACTGTACAGGAATAGAGTTCTGCTGGCTCACCCAGCTAGCAGTTGGGTGAGTGTACACAGTTCTGTTAGTGTAGGATGTGTGATTTGTTATTTCTGAGATATATGTTGGTATAAACAAACAGCAGTACATTACTCAGCAATAACATATAGGTGTGCACTCTTATCATGCCAAATGGGACAGTCTTCAGACCCTGTTAGGAACAACTGCCTAAAGATTTGAATTATGGTTGTTTGTTTGTTTTTTTTAAAGTTTGACTTTAAAGAATGGTCTATAAAACCCTCTTATTGCACTATAGGAGAACAAAATGTTAAGAGTGTGGGAAATAAAATGTGAGTTCTGCAGAGCACAGAGTGGAATGTACTCTGTATTCTTCCGGTTTGGTATTCTTAATTGCACTAAGACAAGAGAGGCTTTGTACAATGTTTGAAAGTGCAAGTATTACATCATTTTATTGTTAGGCTTCTTGTGTGTGTCTCCTGTTTTACTGTCTGGACACATCGCTGAATCTAAATTCAGGTCATCAGGTAATTGTAGTGCCTGGAGAACGCCACTAGGAGGAACCGATGGCTAAGAGAGCAACATACCAAATAACTCCTTATACTTATGTTCTAGATGCACGTCCTTACTTTAAAATCAGTGGCATCCTGCAGTTTGTAACCCTCTCCACAGTGCATTAACAAGTTTAGATATGTACGTAATAGGGCACATTAACGTAGAAACAGTTTTCTAATGTGTGTTTATTGCTTTTGGAAGGTGGTGCATGTCAAAGTGTGTGCAAACTCTGATTGTGCTGTTCTGCATAAAAAAAAAAAAGACTCACCAGCTGTGGAACAGTCATTAATGTGTGCTTGTTTGGTTGCTGTTCTTTAATGAGAAGTCTTCCCTACAGGGCTAGAGCAACAGTTTTTATGTAATTTGTCACCTTTGCAAAGAACAAGGATGACTCTGGCAGCTGAAATATTTATATTCTTTCATTGCAGCTATTGAAAAGGATGCATTTTTTTGCTCATGACTGCTCTCCTCTGAGAGACTGCAATACTAAGACATGTTCCAAGAGCCTGTCTGTGCTACAGAGCATAGTTCCTTAGAAGTCATACTCAGTTGTCCTTCAATCCTGTGTCATCCTTGTCCTCATGTAAATAATGGCAGTGCTTATACCAGCCATTGACTCCTACCTTGGAAAAAGTGATTAATTCGCTCCTTGATTCTGTAAGCAGGACCTTGAAAATGCTGCTTCTTCTGCTTGTGTTCTCTAGCTGTTGGCAGTGGCTGATGTGCTTTCTCCTAGGTGAGTTCTGGCCCTTTGTTAAGGTGTTAGCAGTAACAAAAGCCTTCAGTGTGCAGTTTGGAGAAAGAGCACTTTGCTTGCTGCTGCTGCTCCCATAAAGCAAACCAATTAATTGAAAGCAAATGCTTTTCCTTGCCTGCTGGGAATGCATGTTATTTTCTCACCCAGATAAGTCCCAGGGGCCAGAACACCCTCTTTTTACTTTTCTTTTGTTTCTCCTTTAAAAGGTGTGAGGTGGGGCCTTTTCCAAAGGTTCAGAATTTGTCTTTCTGCACCCCCTCTCCCCCTGTTTTTCTTTTTTGGTGAGGGGTGATAGTTCCTCTATCTGCAGGCAGCTGTGCTGGAAGGGCTGCTAATGCTCTAATGCTTTTTTTCCTGAGGTGAAATCCTGCTCGAGTTGAGACTTCAACCCCCTGCCACCCCAACGGGCAGAGAAGCAGATGTGAGGGGGACGCAGAGCAGGCCGGGGAGCTCAGTCCGCCCTGTTTGAGGAGCCCGTTCCCGGTAGTCATCCCCTGTACGTTTCTCCCCGGGCTCTCCTGGCTCTGGTTGCCGCAGTTGGAGGACGCGATGCCCGAGGTGTGGCTCGAGAAGGCGCCCAGGCCCCGCGCGTTTCCCCCTTCCCCGGGCAGAGGCCTAGGGACGGGAGCACAGCCAGACCCACTAGGCCCCAGCTGCCCTCTGTCAGCGCTCCGCCCCGCCGGGCGGTGTGACGGGCGGCGCCGCCCGGTTGCTCGCCTCCCTGGGCCGCGGCGGGCCGCTGCCGCCCTCCCCCGGCGCCGCGGCGGGCGGGAGGATGGAGCAGGGGCTGTCCGCCATCACCCTCTACTGCGCGCCCGCCGCCGGCCCCGCGGCCGCCGCTTGCGCCATGGAGCCCGAGCAGGTGAGCGGGACCGCCGGAGCTCGGCGGGGAGAGGCAGGGGAGGGTCGGCCGGGGCCGCGGCGTGCGTGGCCGAGCCCAACGGGAGGGCTGGTGGTCGTGTGGGCGGCAGCCGGAGCGGCTCTGCCCTTCGGTGCGCTGTAGTTACAGCCTGCAGCGCGGGCGTCTTCTGTTTCACGGGCGAACAACGCCTTACAAATCGCCTGATAAATATTGAATCAGGGCGGCTTATCCGTTTCCAGCCAGCGTGTCAGCGACAGAGCTGAGGCGTCAGAGATCACTGCCTCGGCCGCACGCGACACCGCGTCTCGGGCAGACTTCGACCTGCAGAGCGCTCATCCGGCAGCGGCTCAGGCTGTGCGCCCGGTGCTCCTGTGCCGCGCCTTGGCTGTGCGCTGGCGTCCTGAGCCCTGCGGTTCCGAAGGCTTCTTTACAGTTCTGCTCTCCCAACCTTCACTTCATCGTTTTCTGCTTGCAGAAGACTCGTGCGGTTTAATTTCGCTTGAAACACATGGTAGAAAGTTAAGGAGGATTATAAAAATAATACAAATGCAAGCAGGCAGGATAGCATGGGCAGGACTGAGTCTTGATTAGTATTACAGCCTCCTACTGTCTAGTGCCGTCAGGCCAGCAGCTCTTTGTGAACTAATTACTTTTCTGGGAGAGTGAGAGAGGCACGAGCTTTGGCATTTCGGATCAAAAGCTCAGTACGCAGCCTAAGTTCTGACGGACTGGAGGATGACAAAGTGAGTGGTATGTTCTCCTCTTTGTCATTTAGTTTTCTTTTTCTTCTCCTCAATGAAACTTGAGGCTGTTGCATTGTCCTGTGTTAGTTGTGCTGAGTGCCGCCAGCTGCAGGTGTCCTGACACACTTCATCCATAATCGTAGTTTATTTGTTTTGGCATTTTGGTTGTGGGCTGGAAATCCATGGTGCTGGGCATTGTACCAGCGCAGCTGAAGTGCTCCCTGCTCTGTGTGCTTCTGTCAAAAGCCGAGGTGAGAGGGATTGAAAGGAGTAATGAGGAGCAGCACTTTGGGATGTAACCTTCCAACAGGGGAGATGTGTGAGGGTCACAAAGTGAATTAAGAATTCCAAGGGGGCATTTGAAAGGAAAAGGAGATAGCGCAACAGACTTCACAAAGCATCTTCACAACTAAAGCTGAAGCAGAAAGTACAAAAGTAACTAGCCTCGTGTTTAATAGCTGGCAGTATGGAAGCCAAGGTAAATGCTTTTACAGCATTTGTTTGTCATGCCACGTGCCAGGGCTTTCAGGACTCGTGTAATGTGGTGGTGGGAATAGGCCTGTGGAGGAAAATGAGATGGCAGCCTGACCAGAGGTGTGCCCATCAGGGGTGACCTGCATGACAGCTCCTGGATTGGAAAAAGAAGGTAAATGTGTAAGGCCTCAAACAGAAGATACTGTTGTGTTTAGCTATAAAGTGAGTCTGGGTGATAATTATAGATAAGATCTGTATTGCCACATTTTTTAGCAGACCCTGTTGGGAAGAGAAATAAAATAAAACGGCTTCTGCTTGCAGCTGGGACAGGAGGCTTTTGTTGGTGTTGTGCATGTGAATATTAAAACGACAAACGCCACAGGGATGACTGGAAACAACATCTGGGTTTGCTGCCCATGTAATAATCAAAGCAGCAGCTGATGCATTTTATTTTATTAAGTAAATTTAAGTCTCTGGACCAGATTACTAAGGGAAATGTTTCATTGTTCCTTGATTCTTTTTTTGTATTGATTACATTTGTCCAAAATGTTGTAACAGAACCAAATGTGCTGTGCTCCTTTCCACAGGTAGTGTAAGAGGGGTACAGAAATGCACTGAGAAGTGTACAGTTTCTATAGCCAGAGAATTAAAACTTGCTTTTAAATTTTAAAAACTTATTACACTATTTTTCTAAGCTAAAAGATATTTGAACTATTTGAGTTAAATGAATCAAAATCAGAAGGATTTCTAGGAGCTTGTAGTGAGGCTTACTGTTATTGATCACAATAAGTAGTCATAAGAAATTGTGCTCTTCAGTACTGCGACTAACCATGAAAAATGGAATCATTGTTCTGTGCCAATGAAGAAGCGTGAAATTTTTTAAGAGGCCAATTCTGTGGTGCTCTGTGCTGCAAAAAACACAAAACCAACTTGCAGTGAGCAGTGCCTGCCCTCGTGGCAGCACAAGGGATGCTCCCTGTGCTCAGGCTGTTGCATTTTTTCAGCACTCAGATTTCTGTAGATTTGCTGTTCTACTGCTGCTGTTTTCAGGACTGAAACTCAACAGAGTCCACTAGCCGCAGGGCTGTCAGCTTTGTGCTTCTGCATGGAAATGTAATGCCATTTCAGCTGGATTATACCACTGAAAACTTCATTCTGCCACTTCATTCTGCTTTGTTCCTCCAGAAACATACACAAAATGTGCCACGGTAGCTAAAGAAACACTGCAGGAAGCCAAAATGACTTGCAGTTTTCTGCAGCTGCAGTATGAGGGCTAGAAGGGATGATGAAAGTGTGTACTCCCTCTCCACATCATCAGGCATAGCATGTGATCGGTGTATTCCCTCCCTCTTCACTGGGTATGAGATAAATCTATTGCCTGGAATGAAAGAGGCAGTTCTGCCTCCCTACCTTCACCTGTCCCACTGCACTGTGCCCATTGGTTTTCCTAGTGAACCTAGCATAAGTGACAGGAAGAGCGATACTGTGTTTAGGATTAAGGGTAATCCTACAACTGTCTGTTAAAAATACACATTTTTACTAATATTTTTGATTTGTGATCTGTGAAGATCTGTGCTAAGCTTGTCTAGACAAATAGTCAAAAATTGGAACATGTCAATTTTACTCAAAGTTAGTTCTATGTACGTATGCATGCATTTCTTTCCTTAAGTTCCTTATGACATGCTTCTACAATACATGCACTTGTGTGCTTTTTAAAAACCTGCATGGTACATTAAAAGCAGCTGACTAACATTTCGTGTCTTCTGCGTCCTTCTCTGTACAATAGAAGTACGTTCAAAACACCTTTTGCATTTGTTGCAGTAGTATTTAAATGCTTTGCCAAAATGAAGGTTCTCTTTTGATGGATACAATACAAAACTTACTAAAATTCTCTGTCCGCGTGAGTTGTTATCCTAAAGAATTATGGACTGGCCTTTGAACCAGAAGTAAAGCTTTCCCAGTGCTTTTTCTTAGACTGGAAGACTGCACTGTAGTATTCGGCAATTGAAAGAACAAACCCACACTTCTCTTTTTCATTCATCCTTACCCGCTAAATTAAGTGGGTTTTAATTAAGCTTTTTTCATGCGCCCTTGTACTAATGGTGATTGCTGATGTACTAAATGATCTAAAACTCTTAAACAGATCATGAAGTTTTTTTTAAGGGAAAAGTCTAGTTTTTCAGCTTACTGCATAGAAGTGAACTTGAGATAATTTTTAGTTTTTTCTTGTATGTAGCAACTTACAAATGGAGATAGAGGCTTTGAGAATGTGGAGCTGGGTGTCATAGGAAAGAAGAAGAAAGTTCCAAGGAGGGTTATTCACTTTGCAAGTGGAGAAACAATGGAAGAATATAGCACAGATGAAGAGGAAGATGAACAAGAGAAAAAAGACCTGTTGCCTCCTGTAGATCCTGTAAGTACTTCACTTGATGCATTTCTGCTTACTGGTTTATTGGATAACTACTTGCATTTTTTCCTGTAGTTCTGATGTTACAAATTTGATATGGTGTATATGAGTTAATTCAATTGGCTCTAGGCACTGAGGAATCTTAGAAGTATTTGCCACATCCGCAGTCTTGTGTTTCTTTTATGATAGCTCCACAAACTGGTATCCCGACTATTTCTTCTCTACCTTCCTATGATTCTATTTTCCCATAAATTGAGTCTACAGTCCTGTTCCTTGCCTTCTGTCTGTGGAACTCCATTCCCAGCCGTCTCTGTACTTGTTTGCCTGTACTGAGATTGAAGTGGGGTCCCAAAAATCAGCTAGATCTTTCCCCGTGTGCTGAGTACTGTCAGGTGGCTGGGGGTTGCTGCCTTGTGCAGCAGCCAACCTGTCTGTGCTTTGGAGGCAAATGCCTGTTAGAGCTGCTTGTTCTTACACTTGAGATAAGAGTCTCTGCACACACAGAAACTGGTGGTGTTTTCTACCTGGCATAAGCATTGCTGTTGAAATGACTTGTGCATCATGGTTTGGGAATCCATGATTAAGAAATGTTGTGTTTAAAGTTTGCTAATTACTGTATGACTAGCTGCTATGCTTATTTGTGTGTGCATCCTTCCCAGGGATACAAAAAGGAGGGATTTCAGTGGACAGTTTGACTTTGTTTTCTTTCTCTTCTGAAGAAGTGGTGTGGCCACAAGGTGTGTGCTTTGTGAAGGACTATCAATCAGTTCTCCTTTATTCCGTCTGTAAAGTTAATTTAGCTTGAAGAAAAAGTAATAGTTTGAGGATTGAGCTGATATGAGACTATAGAGAGCTGGGACTGGAGCTCCAAAGGATTCAAGTATAAAGATGCTGTATTTAGACCTGGATGGACAGATGCCTCAGTACCTCTTTCTTGTACACAAAGAAAAGTAACATTAGCCTGAGAGCAGGTGTATCAGTATAAAAATGCATGTCAAGTTTACATGTTAATTAAAGTATAATCATTGAAAACAAATATATTTAACTTATAAACAATTGCTAAACGATAGCTGTTAAGCTACACTGTTGGGTATTTTTGTTTTTCTTCTTCCCCCTAAGGGTTTACTCTAGAAGTGCAAGAACTGTGAAACTTACTGAATACTACCATAACATTAATGGATCTTCAGACTCAGATCCTTAGATCTGCTTCACACAACGAGGGCTCTGTCAGATATCCATAGATACGTACAGAGGTTATTTTTTTTTTTCAATTATAGTTAGCAGGGGACTAGATCTGTATAGTTTCTCTGTCATTTCTCCTCAGTAGCATTAGCATGATGGAAGGCTCACAGGACTTGATATGTGTGTTGTGAGGCCAGAGAAGTACACGCTGTTGAACAGATGGACACTTAACTAAAAAGTTCTCAAATATCCACAACTGCCAGGATTTTGTGGGATCATATTCCTGCTTTCCTAATTTGAATTTTATTCTGAATACCAAAAAGCATATTGTGTGGTACAGATAAAATTGCTTTATTCCACAATAGTTTATGAAATATTTAATTTTTATTATTATTATTTTTTTAATAATAAAAGAGCCTTCTGAAGTAGAATACTTTATTGTGGAGCACAGTATGCCCTATTAAGCATTGCTTTTTACCTTGGCAGAATAAACTTGATTAGACCAAGGGTTGCCATTAAGTGAAGTTTACCTTATCTGCTGAATGCTTCGTGTATCCCAACTGAGCCACTGAATTGAAGAAATGTTAGTCCAAGCTGAGCTTTGATGTTTTAGCCAACAGCTGCCTTGAAAATGTTTTTATTGTAGGATTTCTATAAAAGCAATTAAGTAGTCAGTTTGCTGAGACCAGCATGTCTAAAACTTGTTATCTCGGTTGGGATACTAAAAAGTATGTTGCAAATAATAGCTGTTCCTGGACCAATTTATTTTTAGAAAAAGCACATAATATTTGGAATAGAAACTTTAAATCATGAAAATTCAAAGCTCAGCTGGTATTGGCATAATAGCAGGTTCTAAGTGAGTTTAAACCTAAGAGTTTAAACTTAACTCTTAAGAGAAACAAATATTTTGCTGTGTTGTAAAGAAACTTCTTCAGTAGCCATACCTTGGTTTAGTCACGCTGCAGAGCTAGGCAGACAGCGGCAATGCCTTCTATACTAAGCAAGGTAACATGTACGTATTCTGATAATATGAGAACCAAAGGACTCAGTGTGATGGGCTGATGCCACCTAAAACAAATTCTCATAAAATAGTGAGTCTTAAGTTTTGCTTTGAAGCGGTGATTCTGACAGTTCTGTAAGTCAGTTCATTGCTGCTTTTGGATCAGTGTCCAGTCTGTTGTGGTTTTTAGAGAGGGAGCTGAATCCAAAACACGGAGCATGTTTACTACATTTTTCTGATTTCTTTTTTTAAGATAGCGTTTTTTATTATTCGTGTTCTCCTTTGCCTCTTTGGTGTTTGTAAATGCTTTGCTCATAACTGAATCTTCTATCAAAAAATGTAATTTATATTGTAAACCTCCTTCAATTCTGTTCACAAAGACCTTTACCTTACTGGTTCCAGAAAATAATCTTTCTGCTTATGCCTGGATTGCCACTTGGTTGCCTTCACCTATTAGGTGAATAGGCAGAAATGCCTTTGCAGACCAAGCAATTATATATGTTTAGCATTTATCCTGAGAACGTTTCAGCAGCTCCAAAACAGATACATTTTGTTGGAAAGACTGAAAGATATTCTTACAGGAAGATTATTCCGATATCTCCTAGTCAAAAAGGAGCTTAACTTCATATAGCAAAAAAGCATTATTTTATGCTATTGAGAACTCAGAAAGTCTGATTTTATTTTAAGAATTTGGCAACGAGGGAGGAAAGTTGCCAAATAATTGCTATTCATCACGAGATGTGTGATTATTTTTGATGCTCCTCAATCTTGTTTTAACCAGTTTGTGATAGCAGTTTCACCTGCTGCATTCACTGAAGGACTTGTTATGCCAGTGACTAGGCAATCAGTAATTAAACTCATTAAACTTGCATCTTGACACAGTAAACAATGGAAAAGTATCTGGCAGTATTTAACTCATTAAACACAACTTGCTTTTTCTTAAATCAGTAAATGATTCTTTATCTCATTTTGCCGTTTTCTCTGAGGAAAGGCACACACTCAATGCAAACAAACAAAGCAAACAACCAACCTAACAAAAAACAAAGTGCCAAACCTACAATCTTTAGAAAGATCAAGAAGTGTTATTAGGGACTGAAATCTAGCAAAAGAAATATGGATGTGGATTGTTTATATGGCACATTCAGAAGTTCAGCAGTGTGTCTGCTCCCTTAGGCAGCACCATACTAGGGAACAATATCATGTTCTGTTGCTGAATCATAGCCCTCTTGGTTTTATCAGTGGATGAATTCATTATGTTAATTCCTACTTAAAATGCAGTGCACTGACACCTTCTGTATGTGGACTTGGACAGATGATATTGTAGCTGAGTTTTAGGTTAGAACTGTGCATTAGGATGTTTTGTAATTTAAAATCAAGTGTAAATAACCATTATATTTTTAACTTTAAAAAACAAAATTATATCATGATAGCAAAATAGTATAGTTAAGCACTGTAGAAACATATACTTAAGAGAATGATGGTAGGAGAAATACTGTTCCCTGATATAAAACTAGTGTCCTGCATTCCATTCAAGAAATACAGTATTATCTGTCCTTGTTTTGATTACACTGAATGTTAAGACTTCTCTGGACAAAGAAGATACATAACATCTGGGTGTGCAGTTCTTACTGAACTGACTTTGGTACTGTAAGACCTGACTTCAGTACCATTTTCCAGTGTCATTCAGTAAATCAAAGATAATTCATATAGTACTATTAATTTGTATTCAGCTTTCGCAGAACGTTTATGTTCTTATCACCCATAAGGTTCTTGTTCTCTCCAGTACCTCTTCTCACCTCATATTTGGCCTTCTTGCTTAGGTATCTGAGGTTCTGCCAGAAGCTGCCCAAACTTACCCTGAGGAAATAAATAAAAAAAAAAAAAAACAGAGGAGAATTATTTCTCCCGGATGTGTTCATGTCCCTGCTTGTTCTCAGTGGTGTTTACTCTACAGAGCATTTCATTTAACTGTTGAATCTTCATTACATGGTTTCTTTTGGCTTTATATTGCCTTTTGAGACACTTGAAAGAATGTTCCTTTTGCAAGGTACCAAAACTGGCACAACAATATTGGAATGAGTGAAGAAATATCTAGCTAGGCCAGAGATGCATGTTGTAGGAAGCAGACATTCGTACAAAGTTGAACTTAGAATTACTTCTAACATAGCAAACTGATCTTTAATTGTGGTGGAGGAATAGCAGAAATAGAAAGCATCTCTGTGCCTGTGGAGACTGAAATTTAATGTTTGTGGTACTGCAGTAGGACATTAGAATACTCTGTGTCTGATTTACTTCGGTCACATTGAAGCTCAGCTTCTCTTTTTATCCTTAAATGTTAAAGGGGCTCTTGTAGCTTCTTACTTACTGCTGCACAGCAGGCTTTTGTTTGTTCTGTGCGCTCTGTGAGTGCTTTTTGACCTTGTCACCTCGTTATGAAGGATTGTACAAAGGCTTGTCAATGCCATTATTTGCACCTGTGGCAATGAGCTTTTCCAGCACTTTTTTTTGAGTTCTTCAACTGAACAAACTGAGAAATGATTGTCATTAGCTTATCTGCCAACTGCGTACGTAATCAACAAGCTGGAGGTGCTTTTGTATAAGCAGGATAGCAGCTGGCTTTGCTTACACTTTTACCTTGGCAGGATATTTTTAATGTCTGTTGCCAAAAATATGTAGCATCTGTTTTACTTGTGTCTGCCAGCTTGAGCTTCTTGCTTGACAGATTGTACTCATGGATAAGATTTCCCCAGAGTCTTCTCAATGCTGAATAGCCCTATCTCTCTCATCCTTCCTTCACGTGGAAGATGCTCCAGTCCCTTCACCATCTTAGTAATTTTGCATTAGGGTTTGCTAACTTAGCTGTGACCAGTTTGCTTAAGTATTCTGGAAGCAGATCCTCTTGCACTGTCTTTCTTACACCGCACCTTGCTCCTTGTACTTTAGATTTCTGAAGTCCAGTCTTACAAGGAAATGTGGGATGAAGGCAGTTTTCACTACCACAGATTTTTCCGTGTCTTGTGTCATCAGAACCTCTGCCCCCTTCTGCAGTAAGCCTGCACCTTCCTGTTGCCTCTTAGGTATTTACAGAAGCACTTCCTGTTGCCTCTTACATTTCTTGCTAGATTCAACTCCTGATGTGCTTTGGCTTTCCTAATTCTGTCTCTGAATGCTCAGAATGCTTTATATTTCTCCAGTGTTACCTATCTCTGCTTCCACCTTCATTATATTCCCTTTTTACAGCTGAGTTTGGCCAGAGCTCCTTGTTTATCAAGATAGGCCTGCTGGCATTTTTGCCTGACTTCCTACTTTTGGGATGGATCTCTTGTGAGCTTGGAGTAGATGATTTTTGAATTTCAGCTAGCTTTCCTGGACCCCTCTTCCCTCTAGGGCCTTTTCCCATGGGCCTTTTCCAAGCGGATCCCTAAAAAGGCCAAAGTCTGTTCTCCTGAAGCCTAGAGTTATGATTTTGCTTTTTTGCTTGGCTCTTTCCTCTTAGCATTCTGAACTTCATCTCATAGTCATTGCAACCAAGGTTGCCTCCACCCTTCCTATCCCCAGTGAGGCTTTGCTCATGGGTGAACATGAGGTCCAGAGCATCTTTTCTTGTTTTCTCTGTTACTTGTGTCAAGAAATTGTGGTCAGGACGATGCTGGGTTTATGCCCTGCTGTGTTGTTCCTCCAGCAGGTGTTAAGGTGGAAATCACCATTGAGACAGTTTCTAGCTGTGTGAAGCAGGCTTCATACGTTTGCTCTTCCTAGTCATTTTCCCTATAGCATGCACATGCTGCAGTATCAACCATAATGCTTTAATCCTTACCTGTAAGCTCTCAGCTGGCCCTTATCCACGCCTGGGCAGAGCTCTATGAACTCCAGCTTCTCTTACACAAATGGTGGCACCCCCATCTTTTTCCTTACAGACATTTTTTGCTTCTCTCATTATTATAATCAGAGAATTATCAGAGGTTAGGTCAGTTCTCTGCTTGGTCTGACAGAATTCAGAAAATAATGAAGAAGTCTTTATAGTCATAGGAAATATCTTGGGATTGAACTGAATGCTTGTTGCTTCCCAAGTCTGGAAGCAGGAAACAAAAAAGGTGAAAATAATGTTCCCAGATGTAAACCATGGTTATTTGTTATATCTTGTAGTGATATCTTGCTTCAGATATGCCTGGTCTATACTTACTGTAAAGCAAAAATACTGTGGTAGCTGCAAACAGGTGCCACTGCAGATTTTGTTCTAGATCTATTTGAGCATTTGCATGTCTTAATGTGTATCTTTAACATACAGCTATACATGTTGGTGCTGTTTTTGTGTTTACAGACAACGCTCACATGGGGACCCTACTTATGGTTTCATATGCTGAGAGTTGCCACCTCAACCTTATCAGGTACTGATTCACTTAATTCTTAGTTAAACACATGGAAGAACATTGAGTCACTCTGACAGACTGTAAATAATCTTTGTAGTCTACTGGTCTTTTTTTATTTTTTCTCTTTCCAAAAGTATAAATGAGATGATGGTGTTTTCCCCTTGTTTAGGCAGTCATGTTATTTATTTATTTATTTTCAATCAACAACTGTTGTACGAAGCATGAATCCTTTTGCTGAACACTTTTATTTTTCTGTTTTTCTCAATATGGAGTTATGATGATGTTGGCAAGGGTGCATATCAGCTTCCTATAAAGTCTTCTATGGAACCATTTTGAGTGATATTTGGAAAAAAATTTTCACCTAACTAAATCATCAGATTTTACTAAGACAACTGGCAAGTATTCTAAGAGTATGCCTAGTCATGTACTTTTCAACAGTCTGCTGAGGTTGCAAGATAGACAAAAATAGGACTTATTGTCCAGAGTGTTAAACTCACTACACAGAAGTTTCTTTGACCTGTGGACCTCATAAAAATTACTAAGTTTTTAGAATGCTTGTCCGAGTCTGTGTTCTTGTGTGTGAAGTATTTTGTATTGTATATTGACAAATATCTGTGGGATTTCCATCACTGTACAGCCTGATTGTGAGTATTTAAAAGACTATTGGCAGTCTATTTTATTGATTAAACTATTATTATTTTTAGAAACACTTTACACTACAGTCCTGTTCATTGCTGTATCTTTTCCTCATTCACAGAGATAGATATTGCTCTCCTTTTTTTTTTTCTTTTCTTTTTTTCCAGGAGTCTTTTATCAGTTAGAGGACAGCTAGATGCTTCCTCCTTCCCTCTTAACTTTTGCCTCCTGTATTTGCCATCTGAACTGATCTTTTGAAAGAGCTCTGTCTGTAAGATTATTTATAAAATGACTGTACACTCACAGAACCATTCAGTTGATTACTTCTGTTTTCACTGAAGATGACTGAGTAATTTATTTGCATCCTAAAGGCAGATTTGTAATTTGAAGTGCAATATATTTGATTTCTTGTTTGCTTTTATTGAAGCAATAGAGCTTTAACCATTGTCTTGATAAAGCAACCAACTGACCCAAGCCCACCCGTGCTGTTCTTCTGACTTCACTACATGTTTTGGCAAAGTAATCCTACATATATCTATATGATTCAATGTAGCCTTGAAAACAGAGATAGCTAAAATCTATACATTTTATCAACCCATCAGTATGCAACACAGAGCATCACTAAAACTGATACGAGATTAAAGTGTACATCTATCATTAAATAACTTCTCTGGTATCATTAGACTGAAGGACCACTCTAGTTGGTAGCCATATGTTTTTATCTAATCTTCAGTTAAATTTCAGTTGAAAACTGAAAGTAAGTAGCTTAGCATAGCAGATTTTCTCTTTTAAGTGATGTACAATGACGGAAAACCATTTGGGAAAGTTAACACCTTTTACAGAGAAACTGTGTTCAACAACTGTCTTGTGTTTGTTTTCAGTGTGTGATTTCCTTGGGGAAAAGATTGCATCTGTTCTGGGGATAAGCACTCCAAAATACCAATATGCCATTGATGAGTATTACAGAATGAAGAAAGAGGTATGTGTGGGAGATTGTGTTCTTAAACTTTTCTTTTCCCTACTTATCTTCCCTGGCATTTTCAAAAGTAAAATCTGTATTCTTAAACTGATTACTGAAATGAAGTTTCAGAATGTCTGCTTCAGCTCACCTTCAGTTTCACTTGATCCATGAGCATTTTCTCATCAGGTAGTCGGTCTTAGAATTGGTTGGGTCCTTACCACTGCTCTGCTTGCTTCTCTTCTACAACACATTTTTAAGTCAAAAGCGTAAGAAGGTTGAAAGGAACACTCTAAGGAGGCAGCTGCCTCACTTTACTCGGTTAAACTAGGTGTGCTTTCCAACTCTGAATTCAAAGGGAAATTGAATGTTACGTTACCATTTATTCCAAAGTGCAACTGAAAATGAATGATGGGTAGCCAGTGCTTTATGCAAAAAGCTTAAAGCTTTAACACTTTTAGCACTTATTTTATTTCAATAGCTTTTCATTATTAAAATAGCATTGAAATCTTCATAGAAAGTAGGCCTATCACTACTGTTGTTCGCTAAAAATTGCTTATCTGGACGCACATCATTTTTTCTGTGTTGGTGGGACACAGTTTAATCCTTCACTTTCGGTGGTATTTTTTTTTTCCCTTAATGGAAGTTGTGGAATTACAATAAGCTAGTGACTGTTATTAAACAGAACAAATTTTTGTGTCTTGTAATGGGAAGTGGTGTGTTCTTATAGAATATAAGCCTTATTTACTTCAAGGAATCAGTAGCTTATGAATCTGGTTGTTTATTTTAGGAAGAAGAGGAGGAACAGGAAAACAGGATGTCAGAAGAAGCAGAAAGACAGCATCAGGAGCAGCAGGACAAGCCCCAGGCTGAGGCTCCTGTCCAAACAGACCAGCCTGAAGCAACAAGTACTTCCTTTGTGAATGTAAACTTTGAAAATGAGGGAGATTGCCAGTCTGTTGTGGAAAATAAGCAAGATGTAGTTTCTACTTAAGTGAAAAGCTCTGTGTACTGTAGGAAATAGGAAGTGTCAGGTGTCACAGTCTGGCTACAAGCAGAAAAATAGGATTATACTTGTTCAGTGTAATACAACTTTTAGCGTTCTTATTGATCAGGAGAGAGCTAAGTGATGTCTCTTCCTTCTGTCAGCCTAATAAAGGCTGAGGCATTCTGCCAAATTAGCACTTCAGTTAAAATGAAAATTGGGCTACAAATGTTTGGTCTAAAACTGAATTTCTTGTAAAGCAAGTAAAACATTTAAATTGTTGTCTGGCACTGTGGATTGCAGATGTAGTGCTCTTTCCTACTTCTAAACACCTATTTCTGATTTGTACACTGTTTGCAACTTGGCTCTCTATGAATAGATTAATAGGAATCAATATCCTGTAACTCACAAGTCATAGTAGTCATAGCTTCTGAATTCCCCTATTTGTTGTCACTACTGTGTGCATGTGTCTTTCTGTTACTGACATAAGAGATGTTAGATTTAATGTTAATTAGATTTAAAGGCCCAATGAAATACTTTTATTATTACCCTAAACTTTAAAAGGAGGCTATCGACACCCCTGAGTACATAGGTAATAGTGCCAGCACTACTGGAAGCTGATACTGCTCAACTGTTCCATTTAGTGCTATAATCAAGTACAGAACTAGCATCAGCAGAAGATGCTGTCCCTCTAGATCCAAGAACTAATAGTGAGCCACCTGTTCAAATACTTCTTTACATGCTTGCTCTGAATTGTCAGGGAGAGTAAACTCAAGTCTTGCTAAATTATAGTGAATGGGACATTGTGTATGGTAACAACTTGTAACTACACTTTTTTTTCCTTTTTGTTATAAGATACCTGAATCAGTGTACCTAATTAAGCTGAACAGGCAGCTTGTTCAATGTTATAAGTAAGGAAGGTGCTATTGCAGGTATCTCTTTCTCCCTAGTGCAGAATTCATAAATAACTGGAAATTTTAAAATCAGGCTTATGAATCTTCTTTTAAATTAAAAAAAAAAAAAAAAAAAAAAAAAAAACTTGTTTCAGTATTGAAACAACTCATTCTTTTTTTAGTGAAATGCAGCTTCACTCCAGTTTTAACTACACCCAATTACCAATCAAAGCAATTTATTGCAATGACTGTGATCCTAGCTCCAAATTGCAAAATGTGAATGGTTCACATTGGGACAATCAGGATTCACTGCTGCAGGCAGGGAAATAACTAACTGTCCCAATCACTTCCTTTGCAGAATAGTTACAGATAGATTAGCAGAAAACTTATAATATGTAGTAACCATTTGAATAATTGTTTCTGTCCTTGAGAATGCAAAAATTTCAAGAACCTTCAGTGAATTTTTCTGTTAGATGTCATCATATTTCCCCAGCCTTGTTTCCACTACTAACTAACCAAGGAGCCTGCTGGAACAGCACAGGCTGGGAACCTTGGGCATTAGTTTGCAGAGCTCAGCTATGTATTTCAGATGGCTCTCTGAACTAGTATCCTGTATAACACAGATTCTTTCTACTCTCATATGCCCTTCAACACTACAGCAGAGCTTCTGAGAAAGATTCAGTCATCTGTTTTGATGCTCTTGTTTTGAATGGTAATACAGAAGTTGCTGACAGCTGTGTAAAATCATTCCACCCTGAACACCTGCAAGGAAGAGAATGGATCAGTACCTGGGGAATACATAGAAAAATATCGGGAGTTCTTATTGTACTGTGGCATGAGAAAGCCTCACTTAGCTTAATAGTGAAAACTTTAGAGTTGAAAGATGCTTTGTTTTTCTGCCATGAAATTAATGTCAGTTGTGTTTGTTTTCTTCTGTCCCTACTGTCTGGTATACCAGAAAAACCTCTCACAGCCTTGGGGTTAAACTTCTTTGTATAATATGCTGTATTACTCACTGTGCCTTAACTGAAGGATTAAGTTTTTTTTTGCAAACTGTATGAAAGTGGTTACTTTCATAATGGTTTAATTTTTCTGTAAATGCATTAATTGGTTATTTTATATTTAATATAATTTTTGAACTGAAAATTGGCTGTGCCTTTTCCTTTGGAACTGTGAGGTGGCTGAAATTTTATGCCTGCAAACAGGTGAAGTGCTTGTTCACTGCTTGCATTTTCCTGGAGTCACACACATCTTGGCAGAAGATCCAGACACTGACACTCAAGACATCTCCATACCACCACCCCTTCCTTACAACTTCATGGAGTATGTATTAATGAACTCACATTTTCAGCATTATCTCAAAGTGTGAAACAGTACAGGACTACAACCATATCTGGCCTGTATCTCTTCTAATTTCATCTGAAATACATAACACTTACGTGACTTTATTAAATCCGTAAAACACTCATTCTTTAACTACTGCTGTAGCTCAGCTATATAATTAAGTTAAATTTCCTATAATACTTACACAGGAGGTTATGCTATATTATTTACCTCTTACAGAAGACTTTCTCCCTTAGAGTAGGATACTTAACAGTGCTGTCATTAGACAAAGCCATGCAGAACACTGTGACTGAGTGGATACAGGCCAGTGCTGAGAATACTCAAGAAATACATCCTTAATTTCAAGATAAATGCACGTTCTAGAAAATTCAAATTAAAAAAAGGCTCAGTTTATAAGGAAAAAAATTTGAAAACATTTATTTGAAAAGCAAAACCAAAAACACAACAGATCGTAGTTACCTCTTAAACATGACCTGCTCTTTTCACTTCAAAGAATCTGCAGAAGTAATTTTTACATACTGAGTTTTATCTTACATGCCTGAGGAAGATGAAGATGGGAGGGCAGTAAAAATGGAAGAGGCATCAATTTAAATAATGTTCCCAGCATCCAATAGTTAATGAATGCATCAGTTAAGAGAGATCTCAATGGATGCAGTTTACTCCTGTTGAAAGTCACGTATCATCAGCATCAGCAACGCTGTCGTTATCATTTGCCACAAGGACCTCTCTGTTCTCATATGTCCAGAACCCATTCAGATCAATTAGAATACTGGTAACAGTGTCTCCTTGACTGCTATTGATTAAATCTTGAAGGGAGATTCTGTAAGGATCTTTAGGCTTTACCATATCAAAGATCTCATCCTGTGAAAGAAAAAAAGTCAAAACTAGGAGTTAGGAGGGGGAAGAGCCCACACACATTACTGAGCAGAATAATGGTTACTTTATACTGTATACAGAATGATCTTAGGATAACCAAAGCCATCCATACTAATACACAAAACAGGCTGTTAAGTTCCTAACCATGTAAAATATAAGACATAGTAACAACTACAAATAGGAACAGTGTGCTCAGCTCCCACAGCTTCAATAAGAGCTTGCTTTTCTGGGAGCCTTTGGGCTTCAAGTGCCAACATGAAACTCAGCTCATCCGTGTGAGTTTAGCTTTACTGAAGCTTGCACTTTTAGTACTGAAACTGCTAATGTAAGTAGGCAGTACAAGAAAATTGTATTGGCAACAGTTTTTTTAGTCAACTCCATGCTTCCTTGATCCTGAAAAAGAGACGATTCCAAGTTATATGAACTATCTTGAAGTGTAAGGCACAGCAGTATATATTAATAGACAATTTACCTATTAAATATAGAAACTACTAACACAGTTGAATACCAGACTTTTTTCTTATGCAACACATGTTGAATAGAATGACGTTTTCAAACCCACGAGACACAAAAGTCAGATCTACCTCTGCTACACTGCAATTAAATACCTATCAACCTAGAAACTACAATACTCCATTGGTAAATTGCAAAATGTTTATACAAATATTTCACATAGTACTCTATTTGGGAATACCAACCTTGACATCCTGAAAAGAAACTGGTTCTTGTCCATGGATTTTCATTTGTTCCTGAATAGCCTAAAAAAGAAAAGTTAGAAACAGGCAGTGCAGTATTATATTGACACTGGATGATACCTTTTAAACATGCTTCTGCTTGTTAAGATGCACTGCTGTGTGACAAGGCGTTAACAGAACAGCTTGCTGTCAGTTCTCTTCCACATGTAAGGCAGTGGTGAGTTAAGGTACAAACAGTGATGTGCATCTCCAAGTCCACATTTTTTAGTACGATAACAATCCAACTTTCATTATGACCAACATTTGAGCATTCAGAAGACAGGATATGCACTCTTATCACTCATTATTCAAGACAGGAATATAATCAAATCAGAAAATTAATTATTGTCTCTTTTGAGGAGGGCATCCTATAATAGGGGGGTTGGAACTACATGATCTTAAAGTTCTCTTCCAACCCAAACCATTGCGTGATTCTAAAAACTGTCCAGTAATATGGAGTATGACACAAGCGAGAAGCTTTTTGCAATGATTACCTGGGATTAAAAATCCCACAGCCTTGCAGGCCATCACTGTACTTCAGCATTTTCCTTTGTTGTACTAAATTTTAGGATTACAGCGGAAACTAAAAGCATGAGCAATAGCCAACTAGAACCATCATAAGGGATTTTAACAAGTAATCATTACATATATATAAAATTTTTAAGCTACAAAAATATTTCTCCTTGATTAAATCAAAACAGTTAATTTCAACTGCAGAAAAACAATGCTGAATACCTTTTGAATTCTTTCCAAGTTTTGGAATATAATTTTTAATGTTTAAAATCTTCTTACAAGCAGTTACTGGCTTCCCAGTGGGTACTGGTAATTTAAAGGGACTCCCTGCAGATCTGCATGCAGAAGCACACAGGCTGTAACACCATAAACACAGAAAATGGCCTACCTGTATAAAGAGACTTACCCTAAAGAAATAATTAAGGGAAAAGACATTCAGGTATCCTTTGTTCTCAATGTCGAGCAGTTTGAAAATATATTGCAGAGCTGCAGGCTCCTTTCTGTTTTCTAATGCAAGTACAAAGTCCAGGTAGGTTTTATAGTCCTAAAAGTAGATACAATCATGTTTATTATAGTCTTCTTTCTAAATTGATTTTGCAAGCAGGAACATTATAATTGGCAGCTATTTCATTGTAGGGGATCAGCCTATTTTCTGAAAAAGACAAAATAAAATGGAAAATGGCTGCTACCACCAACATGAACAGAAAAGTTAGTTCCTAGTGACTGCTGAGGAGAGGAAATCTTGCCATTTTTAGATGTAAAATAGTATTCCAAGCATAAATCCAAATTGAACAGGCTTTGTATACTTTTAAAAATGTTTATTACATCCTTAGAACACTGAACATACCTAATCAGTTAAGTCACAGTAGTTTTCATTAGCACAAATTAATAGTGTTCAGAGGTAATAACCCTAGTCTTATCCCAAGAGTGAACCATTTGACCAACTGAAGTACACAATCCTTAGACCAGAGAAGTTGTTTGGCAATTTGTCAGGATGAAGCACTAGTAAACATCACAGATATGTAACTTTCTTACATTTTCCTTACTTTTTTGCTTACACTTATTTTTGGTCTCCTGATAAAGATACAGTTGCGACAATTAAGGACAGAAAGCCTACAGTCCTGTGTGTGTAACTGTGTACCTTAAACACAAGGGGGTTTGCTGCCATTCAGAAAGACCTCAGCAGGCAGGAGAAACAGGCATCACATTGAGTTCAGAGGGAATGCAAAGTTCTGCACACAGGGAGAAATAACTGTGTGCACCAGCACATGCTGGGGGCTAACCAGACAGAAAGTAGCTTTGCATAGAATAAGCTGAGAGTCTTGATGGGCAACAAAGCTGAATACACATAAGCAATGTGCCCTTGCAGCAAAGGCAACTGACAACAGCATTTTGAGCTGCATGAGGAAGAGCTTTACTGGCAAGTTGGTGAAGATGATGATTCTCTGCTTACCACTGGTTAGCCCACATCTGAGTGCTAGGTTCTGTTCTGGACTCCTGAGTACAAAAGAGGTACAGACCTACTAAAGCAAATCCAACAAAGGGCAACTAACAGGACTTCTCCTAAGCTCAATGATTCAGCAATTCTACAAAAAATTACTAAGGGAGCAGAAATGCTACATCATAAACTGGAGTTTAGCACGTTTAGGGGTAATTAATCATCTGAAAATACGTATTAGAAGTACTGATACATTACATAAAGATCTCAAAATAAACAGCACAGATATTTTTCACTTTAACTCTGATTTGGTTAGATTTCCCATGCCTCACAACTATGCAAAGCCTACAATAAAAAAATACTACTCTCTTCATGAAGAAATGTACAGATTAGCAGACCAGCTATGTATGTACAGATTAGCTGATAGTCCCAAGTATGCCACTTGCCTTCATCTCTCTTCCAAGAATCAAACAACCTCTAAAAACATGGATAAATTAAATATATTTTTTCCAACGTGCACTTTATGTATTGAAGTGGAAGAGAAGCTTTATCCTGGACTACCTGGATTCTGTAGCATTTCTGCTTTTCAAAACAAGAAACTTGTCTTCCAACTACACAGTCATCTTGCAATCACCTTGATATTAAAAAATTTATTTTCTAATCTAACAACAACCAACAGAAGTTACTTTACCTCAACATACTCTTTTAGAAAAAGATACTGACTGTGAGACGTTTCCCTTATTAATAAGTAAAAACTTCAATACCGTGAACAGAGTAAAATCATGCAGTTACCATTTCTCCATCATAAGTTAAGCACTCCTGAAAGACTCGGTCCAGAAATATGTTGGTGAGGGTCCCTGTTCCATATCGGGACAGCTCTTCTTTACTGAGCATGCCATTGTGATCTTTATCAAGGTTTAAGTACTGTCCTAGGAAGGAAACAGATGACAAAATACAGCATCCCTACAGAAACAACAAAGTGTTTCAATGGAGAAAGAAAATTCAGCACATTTAACATTTAATTAATTCTTACCATAGAAGTTAGTTAAGTGGGAGTATGCTAGAACCACAAAAATATTCATGGATCATCACAACGAGCAACAGAAGCAGTGGGGATGAGGAGGGGGTAAAGGCTGCTTACATGAGAAAGGAGCAGAAGACCAAGAAAAACAGTATTTTTAATGTATCTGTTGTGATCAAATAAGAGCTAAAAGTGATGCAAAAGTATGAACAGAACATGCTTTTGCATCACAACAAAAGAGAAGGAGTTTTATACCTTGTGCAATAAGAAGCGCAAAATGACAAAGAATAAAACCACGGTAAAAAGCAACAATGGAGAACAGAAATTGTAATGGAAGTTAGAAGGCTGCACTGGAATGACAGCTAGAGGCATGGAAAAGACTGGTTATAAGAAGGAGTTAATGAGAAAAGAAACAAAAAAACCAGGCAAAATAACACCAATAATTTGACTAAGTCACATAAGGTACAGAAAAAAAAGTGTTCATATATAAAAGGAACCTACCATAAACTCTTAGTGCTGAAGGAGCAGAAAACCAATTTGTTTCCTGACTTTCTTTAGAAAGTTCTTCATCCCTTAACTAAGTGAAATACAAAGTTAGAATTCAGAAATAGTAAAATAAAATACAGCAGTATGTGTTAAGAGATCTTTACCTCCAGTAAGTCATCCAGGAAACTGCAAGCTAAGATGTCCTGTATCTTTATCTTCCCTGTAGAAGAGAAGAAAGCTGTGTTTTAACTTATTCGGCCAACATATCCATTTGGCTGTTCTCATTTAGGTGGACCTCACCAGAACACAAACAAATTTCTATTTTTAAGGAAAAAAAGCCCCATCAATTGATAAGGCAGACAACTAAATAACAAAATAAATATAGCCTTTAAAATGGCAAAAAAAAAAAATAAATTGTTGATTCTGGTAGTTATTCTGCAACCTTGAAAGCCAGGAAACTTTATAAAAACATAAACGTTCAACAAAAAATGCAAAAGAAAAATAATACACAGAAAGCACATACTTAAAACGCTTATTAGAACAACAGTGTCTTTCACATCTTCCAAAACTATAGACCTGACAAAGCTGAGGTAGAAGACTGAGCATCTGCTGTTGTATCTTTAACCAGTGGAGAGACTGCATAAATGGCTGTGCAGAATAAGGACACTATAACTTCACATAGACCTTCTCTATATGCTTGTTGTTGCTCCTGCTGGAGACACTGCCCACACAACACTGCTGACTTCAAGTGACACAGTGAAATTTTGAAAGTGCAGCTTGTGAATTGAAGGATATAGAAAAACCAAACTGTTGTCCCAGTAAGCTACATCTGTAACAAGATGATTAGCATCCGTAACTGGAAACCATTTGTAGTGAGCTTACATAGTGCACACACTTAATCATAGGGAAACAATATTATAATCAGCATTCTTGAGCATTTCCACAGCTTGCAGGGTATTCTGCCACACATTCTGAATTCCCTGTTAGCTGCCATGCCTTCTATTCATTTGAATTAGCTGTTATGAATGTCTTATTAATTTCTGTAACACAGAGTACCACAACTGATGGAGCTTTCAGTAAAATTAATTAGCACTGCAAGTAGACTATCAGACACACATAAAGACTCATGCTTTCAGGGGAGATTAAAATTAAAATACAGTATACTACTGAATAGGAGTCTACAAAGACAATACTTTAGTTCAAAGGCACAAGTAGTTTCAGTAGAAACATTTATTTAACATGGAAACTACTCACACATTTAGAATCTGAAAAACATGGACCTACCTGTTCTGAGAGGATCCAGAAAGAAGAAAAACTTCCTAACTGCTGTGCAGACATAGAAAGAGTAGAAAGATTTTTCTAAGCCATCCAGTTGTGGCAAAGTAGGAATGAGTTCTAAAATGTAGTTTTCTAAATCCTGTAGAATTAAGAGAATATACACACAGAAGCTTTAAACACTGTGGTTGTTTAAAGAATGTTTGTTATACTCTACTCTGACTTTTGTGTATACTCAGTTAAAAATACAGCAATGCAGCAAAGAGCATAACTGAAGGCATAAATACAAATCTCTTGGTGCAAGAAATGCAGGTCAGACACATAACATGCACATGTGGTGCCACAACTGAAACTGTCTGCTAGCAAAACAGAATGTTAAAAAAGAAAGTATGACATTCACAACTAAATATAAATGAATTCAACTGCAACTTTTTCAAATACCAGTGTGTAATTCCTAATTGGATTATCCTACTGCTGAATGTTCTTTACAATGTTGTTTCAATTACAGCAGTAACTGCAACCTTGTTAGTTATTTTATAGTATTAACTCCTGACAGAATAGGAGATTAATTTCACTCCCACTCTGGGGAGTGAAATTTTTCACTTCTTTTTGTGATTTCTACTGTATTCTAACAAAGCTAGTAAAGAGCCAATCACAGAAAACTTTGCTATCTGCAACCTCTTTTTTGGAATTATCCATAAGTTAGAAGGAACACTCACCACCAAGTTTCAAGTATACAAAGACTGCTAATTATCCAAATAAACACACCTCATCCAAATCTACAGTATAGATTTGGATAGACAATATGATTTTGTTTTTGTGACACAAAATGGAAGAAATCTGGACATTCTCTAATTCTCTAGCACGTGAGTTAAGATAGACAGCAACTTTGTTAAAAATGTACTTACTGATTCTCTGAGGTAGCCCTGTCCTGCCACATCATATAAACTGAGACCTATTCTTGTCTGATGAAGCCACACTGTAAAACAGAAAATAGAATTATAAGAAAGAAATCTGGAGGATTTTTCAGGACCTCACCAAAACGTGACATTATTCTAAAATGCACGATGCACTGTTTAATGTTAAGTGCCTCTGTATTTCCTGTTTTTCTGAGGCTTAAGCAGTTCTGTTGAAAAGCCATGATCCTGTCTTCAACTTGGCAGAAGTCAGCAGTGATAAAGAGTGCACTGTGACCAAGACTGTCCTATAATAACCAGCTGTGAGAAATGGCTGAGAAGGTACCATGTTTCACCTGGTACATGGAATCCTACATATTTGTTCTCTGTCACTAAATTATTTTCATGCATTAAAAACAGCTGCACAATGTGCTATATAGATTACCCATTAGACTGCTATAGCCCTCTGTGCAGTATGAAGCACTGCAGCCACCATCCAACTGCCCTGATCTCACTTCTGATGTATAATACAACAGCAGAATTTAAATAGCACATGTACGTGTATTTGAAATGAGAAGGCAAGTTAATCAGATAATCTACAGGACAACAGTTAGGATCACACTGGTTACATAACTTCCCTGTTTTGTACTTCACAATACTGACTGAATAAAGAAAATCAGAAAGATAATCAACCCTCAGATTTCTATGAAAACAGCATCAGCAATTCAAGGATAGGATTCTACTGCTGTTGATGAGAACAGCAATTAATTAATAAAGCTTAAAATAGCCTCAAAAATAAAATAACTTCTCATTAAAACGGGAAGCATCAACTAACCTTTTCGCATGACATAATTGAAAAACTGCATTATAGATATCCTTCCATAAGGGTCATTATGGAGTAATTTAGCAAAAATCTTTGCTGTGAAGAACTGCCTGTAAAACAAAGAAAGTTACTTGTCTGCACCTGATTATACTACACTGACAGATGCAATTCCAGTACTCCCAACTTGCAGAAAATCTAAAAGACTTCTAACATGTTCTGTGTCTTCAGAAATATTAATTCACTAACCTGAAAGCCAACCACACGTATTGAGTGCATTCATAGCAAGTACACATGTAGTTGGGATCCTATCAGATAGCAATGGTAAACTCAATAGACAGCAGCAGCCTTTGATGCTCATAAACATGAGACTCTTAACAGTCTGTGAATTTTTAATTCTTCTTCAACCTCATTTATCTTTGGTACAATATAGTTGGTAGCTCCCAATCCTCTTCAGTGATATAAAGACAACCAATCTGCTTCTGACAGAAACTTAATTACAAAGCCATGTGTGCAACAGCAGTCCCCAACAAGAATGTAAAACTGCAATACTCATCACATGACATACACAGAATATTTTGTATTTTAAAGGAAATTTTCTATCAAAATATATGAGAGAACGCTGGACAATGTTGCTGCAGACAAGATTTTCCCTTCAAGTATAATGCGTGTAATTTCATGGCCATACTAACTTAAAAACACTTACAATGGTGAGAATTTCTTCTTTAAAAACAAACAAGCAACACAGTATTCTCTTTTCCAAACCTATGAAAATTTTTTGCAGAGATGCAGAGAAACTTTGCAAGGTTGTAAACCAATTAGGTCAGCAATAACTTCATGAAGCCTCTCACCATTAGACTGTCAACATTTACTTGAACAGTTAGAAGTTACAGCACCATTTAAACTTGACCAGAGTAAGCATAAACAATAAAAGAAATGCTTACTTGCATTTAGGTCCAGCTTTTTCACCAACTTTCAAGAAGTTCTCATAATTAATCATCGCTTCTTCCCCAATCATTGGTGACGTCTGATGTTTGTCCAGTAGAAACCATAGATTCTTGAAAGTTATTTACATATTTGATTAAGAAGTTAGTATTCCGTATACATCAATGCATCTAAGATAAAGCATCTACACAACGCAGCAAATATGTCTTTTTACTGTAAGGCTGTTTCAGCCGGGACACAACATAATTTCAACCAGCAAAACAATCAAGGAGCACTTCCACCACTCTAAACTGGTGTTATAAGCATGTCATGGGGATTTCTAGGGTTACATCTCTTTGTGTTCACACTGCAGTTAGCCCAACAGCCTTTGGAGTCTCTCTCAGTGATACATAAATAGAACTTATCACTTCTTCCAAGCCCATCAGAAAATCATCAGAACAAGTGGGAAAACCAGCAGCCATTGATATATTCCTCAGGCACGTCATAACAAGGAAGCTTTACACTCACGTTACCAGCCTTGGACTACTCAGCACTTTGGCTTTAGCTAGTGTTTCACAACTAGTCAACCTGTGTAAACACAAAGCACCTCACCAATCACACAAGATTCTGTGGACCCACAGGAGATGCTCAAACTCTGTGGAGAAAAGAAGTTCGTCAGAAATCATCGTAAGCTATACAGAAAATGTTTTCTTACCTGAAGCTCTTCATTATCCAATAGCTCTCTACTTTTTCTTTGCAGAAAGACTGCCCTAGATTCTTCTCTTAACTTCTGAAGCAAGACTTCATCTTCAGCTGGCAGCTAGAGAAATTGTGGCATTTCAGTTTTCTGTACAGTGGTTCTCTTGAAAAACCACATAGTCACTTAGTATTTTTAGGTACCCCTGCCTCATACACTTGGACGAAGTTGCTTACTTGATAGAAAGTAGTCAACTATCTACCAGAATACTACCATAGTACCTGCTTCTTCTACAGGAATACTTCTAGGCTTGCATACTGTCTCAAATTAGTTCAATACTGGCATGTTTATTTAAAGCAGGGCACCTTTATCACGAGAGACGGAAATTACCCCTTATTCTATGGTTTATTTGTTAGCACTTTCCCCACTGTTATGGGACAGAAGGGCTTGAACACTAAACTTTTACTGCTGTTATTTCAGTCAGCAGAGTAGCACTTTCTATTTTATGGTGTATAGTCAATGAATATAAAGATGTTATACTTACGAAGTAAACAAGAGAGTTTAGCAAAGCAGATTATAATAACAAAAAGAGAATAGATAGAAAACTTATCCACATCCCAGGCTTGCTACAAAACTCCAGTGGAGGGATCTCCAGAAGAGATCCTTTCCCACTGGTAGTCAGCTCTTAAATGGGTCTAGGAGAGATGGAGCCAGGCTCCACTCCTTCCCGCAGCATAGCTGAATTGCCTTCACCTGTGCTCCTGTGGCTGACTCATTGCTCGCCCCAGGTGATGCATCAGAGGTTCAGGCCGTGATTCAGCAGTTCCCATACACATGGTAAGCCTGACTCTCCAAATTGTGAACATCTACTAGATGCATTTTGGTCAGAAAAACAGATGGGAGAATGGTTTGCATGAAGATTCTGCTGATGTTTACACACAAAATTGTATAGAATTATCAGAATGATGGCTGCGTGTATATTCATCAGCTGAAACATAGTTACTTGAGAACTCTATTGGCAGAACCTGAGGATTAAGGAATGATTAGGTTAGACAGCTGCTGACCAATACCAAAGGTGTCAAACTTCTGCTTTTATTCCCCCATCTCAATTTGATTTATATCACAGATAAGTTGTCTGACCACGATGATGCAAGCAACAGCTCTGTCTTTAGTCTGCAAGGCCAATGACCCTTTCCACAAAGTAGCAGCCTACTGTGTATATACAGAAACAGGGAGATAGGTATTTGTAACAATGGTACATCAAAACATGAAAATAAGAATCATAGAATGTCTTAGATCAGAAGGAACCTTAGAGATCATCTAGTTTCAAGCTCCTGTTATGGGTAGGGTTAAGAAGTATTTCTGAAAGAGAAACAGGATTTGTTACCTTTAGTAAACTCCCAAGTTTATGGTCCAAATAGCAAACTATTGTATATTCTACCCAAAGATGCTCAGTAATTATTTGAAACTGCTGAAATTCACAAGTATGCAACATCAAAGACAGATTATGCTTAACAATCTGCATCTTTCAGAGCTCAACTTACTTCAGCTTCTGGAGCTGAAATGCCCCTTTGACATTACACTTTTTTTTCTTATAAATTGGCCTCTTCCTTAAGTGTACCCGGACACCTCGCTTACCCTGTAATAAAATCGTGGTATGTTTGCATATGACGTGTTGACATTAGCTCTTCCTCCTTTCCATTCCATGTAATACTTTGTGAACAACTCCATCTCTTCATCTTTCAGCTCCTGTTCGCTCTTTCTGGCTAATTAACACAGAAAAGGATTTTCAGATCGGACTCCAAGTAGAGCTCTAACGTAACGAGGTGCTTGAAAAAACAGTATTAGCGGTACGGCTTACGCAGCCCCGCTAAGGAGGGCAAACAGGCGGAAGGGATGGCACGCAGACGCTCGCAGACACAGGACCTGCGTGTCCCACCTCAGCACGTGCCGAGGGCCGCTTCCAGCAGCCGCGCGCGCCCGATGTTCTGAGCCGCGTGTATGACAGACGCGGGCACGGCGGGCAAAGCAACGTTACAATGGCCAGATTCTTTACTTAAGCCCCGCGGCGCGACTCGAAACCGCTCCCTCCCGCCCGTCCCTCCTGAGACGCCCCGCTCCCAGTGATATGCCCGCGGCCCCACGCTCACGGGTGCGGCGCGCTGCCAGGCGGTTCCTCAGGCTCTGCTTCCAGTCCATGGCCCCGCCGCACCTCACGGCGGCCCCGCGCATGCACCATACGCTGCCCGACGCGCCCGGCCCGCGCTTGACACGGTGGAGGGAGCGGAGCACTGTGGAGCCCTCTGATAGGCCGCGCTGGGTCACGTGCTTCTCCGCAAGATGCCATTGGCTCCAAGAGCACTGAGCGCGCCTGGTAGCACTTCCGGGTGAGAGCGGGGTGGGGAGTGTTGTGCATGCCGCGCGGTCGTCTCTGTCCTACCCAGTGGTTGGGCAGCATCGCGCGGCGCCAGGCGCCGATGGCCGCCTCGCAGGAACAGAGGTGGGTGCGCCCCTCAGGGCGAGAGCATAAGCTGTGCCGGGTCCGTGCTTCGCGACGCTCCGACAGAATAAATGTGGCAGAGTGGGAAAGACTGTGCTTCCCAGCAGGTAGCGCGCTGCTGGGACGCGGTGCACTGTGGGAGTTGTAGTGCTGGGGTTCTCTGGGGGTTGTGGCTCGGATCCCTAGAAAGGTGTCGGTCCCTGGTTGGAGGCCTGGGGGCGTTCCTGGGGGCGTGCTGTGCCTGGGCTGGCTGAGGAGTTGGAATTTGTGTTCCTGATCTGAAATCGTATCGAACTTTGTTAGCGTGGAAATTTAACTGTGGTGGTCCTCATATGCCCAAAGTGTGATGTTTTGGTGATTTTTATTTTTAGGAAGACTTCTGACTCGATTTGGATGAAAGCAAGAAAGAAAAAACTTGTGCCTTCTACCTGGCAGCATCAGTGGTCCCTGACTGTGCACAGCACACGCAGTGCTCATCTTCACAACATCTGACAAAGAGGAATAGTACGCTGCAAACCTGCAGAACATCTCTAGAAAGAAAAACAGTCTCATCTGCGTGAATGTCCTTATAGCTCTGAGAGAGGTTGCTAGGTGTTTTTTTTTTTGTTTTTTTTTTGGTTTTTTTTTTTTTTGAAGATTTCTCTATTTTGCATATGTCAGAGCTATAAAGAACTCTCAGAACAAGCATTCTGAAAGTGAAGCATATTCAGCTTGACAGCTCTTAGGCTTCAATAATAAACTTTCCTATGCGAACTGCATTTTCCATTTCAGAACTTTACTTGATACAGTGAGCTAAAAGTGAAGTGATTCATTTTGGTGATGGCACTTTTTTCTCAATCCTGTCAGTATGGTTTACAGGCTTTGCTGTGGAAGAGCCGTGTGTTCTGGCCTGCTTCAAGATGCCGTCAACTGTTTGCTGCCTCTTTTGGCATCCCAAAAAGGGACAAGGTTAGCTATTTCAGCTTTATGACATCTTCCAGCACTGCTTTACCAGTGGATCCCCAAGGGACTGATGCCTGTCCAGCGAAGAAAAGGTCTGAAATTGATTATGAAGAAGAAAAAGGATGGGATGAGGATACTCAAGAAATACATGAAGGGAAACTCCGCTTTTCTTCCTCTGGGGGAGCTTTGAAGAAACAGTTAATGAATCACACTGTATCAAGGCATAAGTTTGCCACTGTACAGCCTCCTGAAAGGCCTTTGTGTGCCGAGGAGTGGAGTAGACTGAGGGAAAGTTTTCAGTCCCCAGAATTATTTGAAGAAGTGATGTTTAACAGTATGATCAGATACAACAGCCCCATTGACGTGGCTAAGTCCTTACTGACTCATGTGGCAAAGAGTAATGGTGACATTGGGTATAATTTATTGGTCAAATATCTGGCACTGTGTGTCCAACAAGGGAAAACTTCAGAAATATGTGATATGTACGACATATTGAAAATCAGATTTAAGACGTTAGAGAGTGGGGCTTACAACCTTCTTATCAGAGGACTGAGTAATTCAGATCAGTGGAGAATGGCACTTACTCTTTTGGAAGAAGTTAAAAGGGTTACAGTTCCTTCACGATCAAACTATGAATCCTGCATCAAAGCAGCTGGCCGTCACCAAGAAATGACCCTTGCTTGTGAACTTTATCATGAAATGTTGGCTAAGGATTTAGTGCCAACCTTGGATGTCCTGCAGGCCCTTTTTGACCACAGCAGGGGTATGAAAAATTCTGCATTACAAAAAGAGCTGTTTGGTATCCTCTTATATTTGAGAGAGAACCAAGTATACCCTCACAAAACACTTATGCGGAGTATAAAGCTGTGGTTTGAAAGGTAAATAATGTTTCAGTAGCAAGCTCCAGTTCTTGAGGGTCAATTTTGATTGTCATATATTAAATCTAATAAGATACTTGAAATAGTGTTTGAGCTGTTGGCTTAAAAATAAATAGGCAGTTTATGTGGAGTTCCCAAACAAAAGTAGGATCTGTGAACTTTGAGCTCCATTAGCATCGAGAAATAATGCAGATTCTATTCTGCATCTTCTATTAACAGAGGAAACAGAAGTTACAGTAAGCACAGAAGTGAGTGTAACTGAAAAAGTGTTATTTTCAATAATGATTTTTTTGAAGAGCAGTCCAGCGCTGACTTTACAAGTTAGTAAAGCCAAATCCAGTAGTGATCTCAGTGTCTAACAATCATAATATATCATAATCATAATATTCATAATATTTTATGCTGCTTATTGTCTTTGTTAAAAAACAAATACCTGAAGAACCTCTGTGTATCATCATACAGAATGAGAAAGGAGGCAAGATGTGCTGTGGGCTTTGGGATAGCCGTTCCATATAATTGTACAACCAAAGATAATAAAGGCAGTGGCAAAGAGGGAGGTATCTGCAATTTCGTGCTGTTGTGCATATAGCCTATTCTGTTCTGTATCTTGTGGGCAAAAAGGAACATTTGCGCCAGTGTGGTGACACCAGTGTTAATAGCAAAGGTGATGATAATGATGTGGCATCAGAAAGTCTCAGTGCAGCATTTTGCTATGACCAACATTACTCTTAGGAGTATGTTTGTAAATCTTTGGATTACACTTGCATAGAATTCTTGATTTCCTGCTTTTCCATCTGATTTCTGAGTGCTTTATGAATGTGTATGGCAGCACCTTGGAATTTGTCAGCGCAATCTTGTTATTTGTGTATCTTTATATATGGGGACAAAGTAAACGGAAGGACTTGGTGTCAGTTCTCAGCATGTTAAACACTGATTTGTTGTTTGGTACTTCAAGTTTTTGAATTGTGTATGAATTTTTGTGTGGGGTTGTTTTTTGTTTTTTTTTCTTCAGGGTAGATGATGGGCCTATTTCTAAATATTGACTAAATATAGATTTTGTTTTGTTTTGTTATCTGTAATGCTGGTATAGCTAAATGAGAATCTAATGCTGTAATTTATCTTTTCTTGTGTATGTTTTAGTATACCAGGAGAGAACTGGAAAGGACACCTGACCAATATTAAAGACAGGTAAATGCAATGTTTTACTTAAAAATGAGCTGCTGTCTTTGTATAAGATGAACTTTTCTTTCATAACTGTAAAACAACTTTTTAATCCTTGACAATATGAACATTTGTTGCATACATATAAATTCCCATACTCTAGTTTCCAGAGGTTCAAGGTAATGATGCATGATTCATACATTTTTGATTGTATGGATTGTAAGAAATGGATTTGTGCATTGCATTGGTGTACAGCTTTTGTTTGGAGAAGTAGCGAGGGAAACAACTAGGAAAAAAAAATGATGGTTGAGAGCAATGACAGTTACAGTTTGATTTCCTTCAGAATGTGGGTTAAGGCAGAGACTGTGGCTGTGAAACATGAAACAACTTTAAAAAGGCTGGGTCTTTAAAAGGTTCTTATTCTTTCTTCTGGCATAGTTCTGGAAGATCATACAAAAATCTAGAAATGGCTACAGTGACTTCAGAGTTTTGGATGCATGCCAGAAAGACTGCAACCAATTTTCTTTTGTTGTGTTGGATTTGTGTTAAAAATGTTCTTATAGTCAGATGCCCATTAAGATTGTAAAATTTAAGATAATTCTTTTTTTTTTTATCTTCTTTTTTCACTATTCGCAGTGGACAGTGCCCAGTTTGCAGCCATCAGCTGGAAGATAGTGAGCTCACTGAAGAGGAATACAATAATTTGAGAGAGAGAATAATTAGAGATGTGATACATGGGACTGACACTTTCAGAAAGACAAGTCCGCAGGTAGGTCTTGTGTGCTGTCAACCTGAGAGAGTAATATACAATTGGTGTTGATGTACTCTGAAAACAGCACAGGTGTTTTTTTTCCCTTTGCTTTAAACTTTAACAAGCCTTTAGGTTCTTTCTGACGTTTTTTATTTTTAAATATATACTTTCATCTTTATAATTACAGCATACATCAAGAGTATCAAGCTTTCTCAAAGGATGTTTTAAACATCTGAGGGGGCATGATTTCCATACTCTATTGTGTGTTGCAGTTCTGTTCATTACTCTTCTTATGCAGAGGTTCAGCCTTAGTGGTACTGAATGAAGCTGAACTCCGCTAGATGGAGCCCACACCACATTGTGGGGTCGTTTTGCATTACCTTATAAGCAGTGATGTGATTTGGCCATAGGTGGCAACTCTGGTCCATGTGGATTTTGAAAATATGGAAAGACTCAGCAGGTTTAGTGCTTAAGGCTTTCTGCTTTCTTCCTTATACATGCGTAACAGTTAAAGGAAATTGAAACTGTCAGGGTGCTCATAGTACCTAAAGCCAGTTCAGACCTCTAATTTATGTGCAGATATTCATCTCAGTTCAGGACTTCTGGCTGATCTGCTGTGAATTTTAGAGGAGAGTGAAATTATCTTTAAAAATGTAGCAGTAATTCACTAGCAAGTATTTGGTGATTACTGTTGTTCCGTAATATAAGATAAATGAAAGGATGTGTTTTATTGCATGCTGTAGAATTAACTTCACCTGTTCTCTAAAAGCCTTTGTGAAAAGATGAAAATTATGTTTGAGGTAGGTTTATTAAAGAAAGCTGTGACAAAACTTTGATTCCTTAAGCAGTTTATACAAAGCTTTGTGTTGTATATGGTGACTGCTGTCTTGAAAATTTCAAATGTGGAAAGTGTTCAGAGCTAGCCTGTTAACAGTAGTGGTTGGAGTGAGAAAGATTTAGGAAGGCAATTCATGTTACCACTGTGAGGACCTGATTGATCATATGAGTGCAATCTAATGAAACAAAGAAGGAGATTATAAATGCCCCATCCCTGGACATAGCAGGGGAGTTGAAACTAGATAATTATTGTGGTCCCTTTCAACTCAGGTCATTCTATGACTTCAAGTTTTAATGCCCACAGATTTTGCTGACTTGTGTGACAGCTGAATTTCTGTCATTTACCACCCCAGGGCCACCTTTATGGCTGTTGAGAGTTGACCTCAGTCCAGTTCTGTACCAGAGGCAGATTGAATGGGGATAAAATGGGTGTGTTTACTGGTGGCAGTGCAGCTGATTCTGCTTTCTCCCAGTGCTTAGCGTGGATGTGTGGCAGAGGCAAAGTGGTGTTTTGATGTGTTGGAGGTTTCCAGAAATAACTTTGGGACTTTTTAGTTGCCTTTGCACTCTGAAAGCAGACATGGTAATGAAAATATCTTGCCCATTTTGGGTATACCAGACTGTGTGACTTCTCCTGCAGCCAGGGTTTTCCAGAGGGGAAACTAGGTGAAAAGGCTGTACAGTGTAGGCAAGTATATGTGAGAGGGTGTTTTCCATTTTCCAGTCAGTCATGCTTTTTTTTGTAGCAGCCACTAATAGTAAACATTTCAGCTTTCTATTCCCTTTTTTTTTTTTTTTTTTTTTTTTTTTTTTTTTAAAAAACTAATATTCTTCAGTGCATTGCTGATTAAGCAGGGAAACAGTTTAAGTAGTTTTGAGCTCTGAAAAGTTTTATTCCAACAACACTTTAAATTGCTTTATGGAATACATTTGGAATTTTCTTTTTTCTTCACTGTGTACTCTTTTGTTTTGCTCTTGAAACATTATTGTTGCTTTTACTCCTCTCAGGCATAAATGCAATCAGAGTATTTAATGAAAAGCAAAGGTTTAGTTTATTGAGGATCCTCTCTCTGAAAGTACTCTGTTATGCTGTACGTAAAGAAAAAAAAAAACAACCAAAGACTATGTGATTAGACACTTCTAGCAAAGAAAATGAAACAATTTAGTGTGATGCATAAGAATGGCAGTGAACAGTACTTACAAATATTTTTAAGATGGCCTGCCTGAACTATTAAACATTATCTGTAATGAGAAAATATCTATTACGTAGATAATACAAGTTCAAATCTTTATATACATCTACCAAAAGCTGTTAGGATGTTAGGTGGTGATCTGATTGCAAGCAAGTTGCAGCCTTACAAAGTGGTGTAGGAAGAAAACAATTTTAACAAGGCTGTCTCTTTTGTATTAAGGTCTATACGATACTTCCAGCTGTTTACTCTGGCTACATTTAATTGGGAGCTATACTATCGAGATGGAGATAGTGTAATCAGTATACTGAGAGACAGTAGCATCTCCTGCTGGATGACTTTCATGCTCAGGTGTTTCTCAAATAGTTCAGTAATATCATCCTATTCGTATCTACTTCATACTCCTGTTAAGGGCTGATGTGCCTGAGGAAAGAAGTGCTTGGCAGATGTGCATGTGCTGTGAGGAAGACAGGAAGAGATGAATTTGGGGCATGTATAGTCCCCACACTAGGTCTGGTCTAGGTGTGTAAGGGGGTTTTACGTGTTCTTTTAGAATGTAGTAGTCCGGAAGGAGAAGAGAAAGTGACCCATTCATATACCTGTAATTCTTGCAGCTGATTTTGTGAAGCTTTGAAAATAGATCTCTCTGTCTTAACATTTAAGTTGATGGCTTTTGTATAATGCATTGGTTCTCCTTCGATGTGTGCGTTTCCCAACTCTAAGATTTGCCTCAAAGCCCTTTGAGCCCAGAGGGACTGAGTGCACCCTCCAGAAGTTTGTCAGCAACAGCAAACTGTGTGGTGTGGTCAACATGCTGAGGGAAGAGGGTGCAGCCCAGAGAGACCTGGAGAAGCTAGAAAAGTGGGCCCATGTGAGCCTAATGAAGTTGGCTGCTTTTGAGGTTGGCTACTCATACCTGCTCTGAAATGCCCGGATGATTATGGTTATCTTGCACTTGGATGCCATGACTAATTTGCCTGATCCTTTCCGGGAGAAAGAATGGTTAATTCAGCTAGGCCTGTGAATCCATCTGCAGATAGGGCTGAATATGTTTTTTTTCCTTCTTTGCTAAGTACGGACTGCTGGACTCAGTCAGAGTGAGGTGCAGCAGTATCCTATGTTGCATTATAAGGCAGGTTTGCTGCTAGGTCTTATAAGATCCGCAGGGACAGAGCAGAGCTGGATTGAGTGGGACTCTGGTTTAGTTGCAGGTTTCTTTTGGTTGTGGTGTTTTGGTAGGACAAAGCCTAATTTGGGGGTTAGTAAGAAAGCTAGCTTCAGTGCTTGATCCAGTACTGAAACTTGTAAGGGCCCTTAAGCATAGAATAAAGATGGGTAAAGTTATGGTGAATGTTCAGATAAATCCAGTACTGGACTTCCTGAACAAAGTCTGAGAACACTGCAGCCCAAGCTGCAGGCTTGTCGTGCTTACGTTCTGTCTTCCTACCTCCATTTAATTCAGGGTGGATGTTAGACTCTTCCTTTGATATTGTCTTTTAGGACTAGAGCAGAGAGAACTTAAAAAAGGGGGAGAAGAGGAAAGACTGAGTGGAAAAATGGGTGTTGAGAAACAAAGGCAGCCGGAATTTTTTAAGGCTTCTTATTTTTCTTGCATCTCATCTTACTGCGGATGCTCCTGATTTATAATGGAAGTAAACAGAAGCACAGAGATTATTCTGGTAGAAAAGGCTAAGCTGCTTCCTTAGTAGCAAGGAATAGATCTCGATGAAAACGTATTTATCATGTATTTCTTTCTCTTGGTTATGTCATTGTTAGAGAATGTTCTTGAAGTTGGGTCAGATCTTCTGGGGTGGCCCACTCTTCCTTTTCTTGATTCATTTGACAAGGAATGGATTGAGATTTTGTTCAGGTCACTGTCTTTAACTGATTGTTCAGCAAAAATAGGTCATCATGCAAAAAAAGTTACATTTCCATCTTCCAGTTCAATGTAAAAGAGTCCAATGTTTTGTTGTCCACCACAGTTATTTTTTTTGTAACAACTCCTTCATCACCTCTGTATTTGAAAATTCTCCTAACATGATACATGTTGGAAAATCTGTTTCTGATCTTAAATCTTTTTGAAAACTTTTTTGCATGGTTAAAAGATAGGTGCTAATGATACACAATTTCCACTGTATGTAATTTGGAGGTCTTGCTAAGCAACATACAAAGTTGCTTTGATGATGCAGTGATTTTTCTCAGACCTGAATCTTTCTTTCATTATCTAGTACATGTAAGAAGAAACAGGAAGAATCCACTGAAGTTTTAGAATGTCATACCTTATTACCTTTATTATATACCTTATATACCTTATATATAAGGTATATATACCTTATATACCTTTATTAAGATAAAGTGCTTTTTTTTTTTCCTGCTTGTTAGGTTATTTTCCTGTTCATTCAACAGATGCAGATAGATCTATAAACATAAAATTAGAACAGTAAATTTTCACCGAAGAGTTAAACTAGTCTGACTTAGCTAAGTAGCTAAATTTTAAGGAGATTATTTTATCAGGAACTCCTTGAGTACACAGTCTGGTACTTGTTGATCATCCATTCCACTTAGAAGTTTCTTGAGAAGTCTGGCATGATGCAGTTTTGAAGTGTTTTCTGCGTTTGAATATTGCTAATATTTTTTATGGTACTTGTAAAATAAAATTAATGTGAACACGTGTTGGTTTCACACAGTTTACAAGGTTACCCCTTTAACTTGGGCATTATTGAGTGGTCCTTCACCATTTCATTGTTTGATCCATCACCAAAGCTACTTCAAACCTGAGGAGCTGCTTTCCAGCTGTGGTCAAAGCCAGAGTTTTCTGATATTGCAGAAGGTGGCATTGTAATTTATGATAATTAGGATAGCATAACAGGTTATAATAATTTCATGTTATCTATCTGGTGCCTTATTTCTGAAGATTTAATTAGCTTTGTTTTAGAACAGCAACAGTTCAAGCAGATATTTTCATTACGCATTATGATCCTTTAAGTCAAT